GGAGCCTGCTTAGGATTCTCTCTCTCTCTCTCTCTCTCTCTCCCTCCCTCTGCCCCATTCCCCACTTTCACGCGTGCACGCGCGCACACACACACACACTCTCTCTCTCTCTGTCTCAAATGAAAAAAGAAGTAAAGTAAGTCATTTCAAATATGACACAGGTAGGTTAAAAGTAAAAGGATGAAAAAAGATACACTATGAGAACACTAATCAAAAGAAAAAGTAGGCTTTCAGACAAAGTAGATTTCAGAGCAGAGAAGATTACCATCAGAGGGCTAAAGAAGGACCCTACATAATGTTAGGATGGTCAACTCACTAAGAAGACATTAAATACATGAAGCAAAAACTGACAAACTGAAGGAACATACAGATTCATAATTACAGATGGACTTCAACACTCCTCTCAGTAATCAACAGAAATAATACACAGAAAATCGGCAAGGATATAGAACTGAAAAACACCATCAACAAACTGGGTCTAATTGACATTTGTAGGACGTTCCACCCAAACACAGTAGAATATACATTCTTTTCAACTGTATGTGGAACATTCACAAAAACAGATTATTTTCTAGGCATAAAAGCCAATCGTCACAAATTTAAAAAGAATTGAAATCATACAAAGTTTTTTTAATGTAAAAATATTTAAAAGTTTTTATTTAAAAAATAAACCTGGGCAATTCTCAAAGTGGGATGGTTAGTGACTCTGGTGTCTTAATCTATGATATATTTCAACCTGTGTGCATCTTGAGATTATTTTTCTATTATGATAAAAGACATATAATTTACCACCTTAACTTTAAAATTTTTTTAATGTTTATTTATTTTTGAGAGAGAGAGAGAGAGAGCGATAACAAGCAGAGGAGAGGCAGTGAGAGAGAAGGAGACAGAATCCCAGGCAAGCGCCACGGTGTCAGCACAGAGCCCAATGTGGGATCTCATGAACCATGAGATCATGATCTGAGCTGAAACCAAGAGGCAGATGCTTAACCAACTGAGCCACCCAGGCACCCCACCATCTTAACCATTTTTAAAAACCAAAAAAATTTTGTTAATGTTTATTTATTTTTAAGACAGGTACAGAGCATGAATGGGAGAGGGTCAGAGAGAGGGAGACATAGAATCTGAAGCAGGCTCCAGGCTTCGGGCTGTCAGCACAGAGCCTGTGCTGAAAGCAGGGCTCAAACTCAGGGACTGTGAGATCATGACCTGAGCCGAAGTCGGATGCCTAACCAACTGAGCCAGCCACCCATGCGCCCGGCATCTTAACCATTTTAAAGTGTAGAGTATAGTAGTGTTAACGGTGTGCAACAACAGATCCCTAGAACTCTTTCATCTTTCAGACCTGAAACTCTTTATCCACTGAACAACACCTCCCCTTTTCCCGCTCTCCTCAGCCTCTGACAGCCACCATTCTCTTTTCTGTTTCCAAGGGTGTGCCTGACAGAATATGTTCTTTGATCATATGGAATCAAACTAAATATTAGTAATAGACAAGTAGCAAGAAAGTCTCTGAATAGTTGAAAAAGAAGCAACATACTTCTAAATAATCCACAGGGCAAAGAGTAAGACTCCAGGGAAATCAGAAACTATTTTTCAACTCAGCAAAGGTGGAAATACAACATTTCCAAATTTGTGGGATAAAGTTGGCACTTGGAGAGAAATTCATAGCATTAAATGCTTATGTTAGAAAAGAGAGGTCTCAAAGTCAATAACCAGTGCTTCTCCCCTGAGAAACTAGAAAAAAAAAGAGCAAAATAAATCCAAAGTAAGAATGAAATAATAAAGACAGTAATAGAAATCAATTAAATTTTTTAAAATAGAGAAAAATCAATGGAAGTAAAAACTGGTTACTTGAAAAGATCAGTAAAATTGATAAACCTCTAGCAAGACGGATCACGAGAAAAAGATAAGACACAGATCACCAATATAGGAATCAAAGGGGCCAGATACCACTACAAATTCTACAGAAACTAAAATAATAAGAAAATATTGTCAATAGTCTATGCACATAAACTCAACAACTTTGAGTGGACCAATTCCTTTAAAAAACTCACCAAAGATGAAATATATAATCTGAATATTCCAATAACTATTAACGGAATTGAATTCATAGTTTATCTAAAAAAAGTTTTTATTGTTTTTATTTATGTTTGAAGGAGAGAGAGACAGAGCATGAGCGGGGGGAGGGGGGGCGCAGAGAGAGAGGGAGGCACAGAATCTGAAGCAGGCTCCAGGCTCTGAGCTGTCAGCACAAAGCCTGACATGGGGCTCGAATCCATGAGCCATGAGATCATGATCTGAGCCAAAGCCGGACGCTTAACCGACTGAGCCACCGAGGCGCCCCATGAATTCATAGTTTAAAGCCTTCTGGAAAAAAAAAAAACACACACAAAAAACAACTTATGGTGGCTGCCATTGCTGAGGGACTAAAGCATGCACTGCTCACCCTGGAAAATGGCATTCTACTTATCTCTGTAACCAATCTGGCACTCCATTCAAAGGGAGCTATTAATACCTACCATCAGTTATCCTTTACTGAGGCCTGTGTTCATTCTTCTAAGTCTTGGTCTGCTGAAATTCTGCCTGTCCTTTCAGGCCCCAATCAATGCTTTTCACGTTCTTTGCAAATTCCCTCAGTACAGCAAGAAATGTATGTGCTTGGGCCACGTTATTCTGGTTCCTAACAGAACTGTCTGCACATGCTGTATGTTGGCTTTTATCAAAGATCACTGGGCAAAGCAGCCACGATGAAATTTGCTGTAAAAATGCTATTGTGGAGATTGTGAGATAAAGTTCCACATGAAATAGTATTTTTATATTTCATGACTAGGAACAAAAAAATAGGTACTAGGAAAATCTTTAAATCTTCCCTGAGCACATCAGCCTCACCATGCTCAACGAGACCAAAGAGCCGATGACAACATTTGCTTTTTGTCCTGCCAGCCAGAAAGCCCCCATGGGCTAGAAACAGTGTTCTAGCTACTCTGTCCACCGTTTACTATTTTTTTTCCTTTGGGTCTTGATTTTTTACCTGAATTCATGTATTATTATTTTGTTGCTTGTGTTTTCATTGTAAAGCCACCTCACATCCTTATGGGCCTTGCTATGGCAGTGGCTTAATAAATACTTGAATGAATGAATCCCTGTCAAATGCATGTGCTATTCAGAGCAACCTGCTCTAAAGGAATTACTTCCTGGATGTCCACTTTTGATTGGTGAAAGGAAAAAGCACTGAGCACCCATGGGGACAGAAGTTGCCTCTCCTCTGAACAGTTGTTACTGGACCTAGAGTCATGTGTCTTGCTTATGACCATCTTCACTCATGGAGAACCCACAGAAGGAATGACAACTGCTTAGTCAAGACTCTAATGAAACATTCAGGTTTATGTGTTCATAAAGTATTCATACTTTAAATAGGGTTGAATCCTACCTCAGAGAACTACAGGGCTTCTTCTTGGAGCTCGTGAAATAAACAGAACCCTTTCCCTTCTCAATGAAAAGAAAAAGATCCACAAAGGCTAGTCTTTGGGAATATTCCTTCTTCTTTTTTTAATGTTTATTTATTTACTTTGAGGGAGAGGGGGAAGGAGGGGCAGAGAGAGAGGGAGAGAGAATCCCAGGTAGGTTCTGTGCCATCAGTGTTGAACCTGACATGGGGCTCAATCTTACAACCATGAGATTATGACCTCAACTGAAATCAAGAGTCAGATGTTCAACCGACTGAGCCACCCAGGTATCCCAGGAATACTCATTCTTATCTGAAAATCTCAACCTGGTATCATGGGAATTTGCCAGCTTGGTTTGAGGGGATGTCCAATTCCAAGTTTCATTAATGCTGAAAAGGTTTAATGGATGTCTCGTTTACTTCTTGGCTTAAGATACTATCAACACGATCTCAGGCTTTCATGTCACACACAGGTATCAAATCCCTGTACACATTATAAAAAATCCTAAATATCTACACTATTTTATGTGTTTTCTAATCATGTGACAGCATTAATTCAAACAGTAGCTCAGGGTTTGTGTTTCCTCAACTAAGAGATCAGTAAAGGTGGACACACCTCAAAAGTGATTACCATGTCCTCAGCCTGCTGGTCCGGCTGCTCCCAAAACAAACCTCTGCTAATCTAGACAGCGATACCTACCAAAGCCTGGGGACCGGTCCTCCTCAGTTCCAGCACTATGCCTTTGCCTGCCTCATTTCTCCTGCCTGGAATGTTCTTCTCCCTCTTTAAATCACTCAATGCACAGCTCTCAGGCTTAACTTTTCTGTCCTCAGTAATCTCTCTTCTCTGCAGCACTCATTTGTGACTTAATCAGACTTGCCTTGAACTGTTATCTGGCTATTTTGAGTTTCTAGAGGGCAGGGATCAAACTGCTCTTTCCTTTGTTTCCTGTGTCCTCCACCAGGCAGTGCTATTCACAGAGGTGATGGTCAGTAAACACTGGCTGAGTGTATGATAAGCACCCAGGGCCAGGATTTAAAATCTACAATTACTAGTTGCTAGTCTTTTTTTTTTTTTTTTTTTAATATTTGTAATGTTTATTTTTGAGAGAGAGAGACACACAGACAGAGTGCAGGAAGGGGCATAGAGAGAGGCAGACACAGAATCCAAAGCAGACTCCAGGCTCTGAGCTGTCAGCACAGAGCCCGATGTGGGGCTCGAACCCACAAACCGTGAGATCATGACCTGAGCTGAAGTCAGATGCTCAACCAACTGAGCCACTCAGGCGCCCCGACTGGTTGCTAGTCTTTAACCACTCAAGGCCCTGGGCCTGAGTGTCAAGCTAGCCTGGTGCAGAGTGGTGGGTGGAGGGGCCACCACCTGACCGCAGACATCCCCAAAGTTCCAACAGTCCTCTTGCACAACCCCCTCCTCCCCCCGCCCCACCAGGTAGTGCAGCTCATGGGAAGGGGGCAGCAATGTGTGGCTCTAGACATTAAAAGCATCCTTTCCAGCTGCCTCTCGGTGTAACTGATGAATCATGGGTTTTACCTGATCTGCATCCCTTTTCTGCAGGAGCACATGTCCTTGCGCAGGAAGAGGCTGTTCAGGGTGACCGCCCCGATCAAGAAGAAGACCTGCTTCACAGCCTGCCTCACCAGCTCAGGGTCCAGGCCGTTCTGGCACATGGTGCTGTAGAAGTAGCTCAGCTGCTGCAGGACAGAGGTCATGGTGTAGGCGTCCGTGTCATCTATGCTAGATGACCGCTTCCGGAAGCCCGTGGGCTTCAGGCCGGAGATGCCTTGCAGGCTCTCATACTCCAGCATGCCCGGCACTGCAGAGGAAAACACAGGCATTTCTTGCACATGCGGTGGGGACAACCAGAGAACATTTCCCACTGCTCTCTCGGGTCTGTTCCAGGACCCGGGACATTTTCTGCAAGAGTTAGCCGTGGATGCAGCTGTGATGGGGAAAGCAAGAGAATCAAGGAGTGGGGAGCACGGGGTGTAGGAGGTGGGCGGAGCACATGGCTGTGTACAACAGGGCGGCAGCTCCTCTTGCAGGCTTGGACTCCCTCTTCTTTCAGCTTCACAGGAAAGGGAGCGGGTCGACACAACTCATGGTCTGTACCATTTCAAGCCTGAAGTAATTACATTTCAGAAAGTTGAAGAAAGTATATAAGAATCTGAGTGGGACTTTAAGATTTCAAAAGTGGTAATGACCCAGGAGTAGCTACACATGGAGTAGCAGGTCTCCCTGGTCTTTCCCTTTGGGGTGAATCACCCTTCCAGGCAGGAAATTACAAACCATGTACTTTTTAGAGAAGTAATCATTTCAAGCAATAGAAAAGAATTAAAAATGAGACATTTACATGGTTACATTTTTCTGGTTTTAAAATTATGTTCTTTGAAATCACTAGATCTCACCAACCATGACATCATGACCTGAGCCAAGATCAAGAGTGGGATGCTTAACCAATTGAGACATCTAGGCACGCCCTACAGGATTTGTTTTTTTAAGGTTTCAGTGTTACCATAAATATTTTTTGGTCATCAATTCTTTTCTTACCTATTATTGGTTGAATGTTATTTTCCATTACAACAATGAACCGATGATATATTCGTATTGCCACATCGCTAAGAATCTGTCTGTATTCTGAAAGGTCAAAATTGTTCAAGCAGTTCTTATTCTGATGTGGACTATTAAGCTTCATGAATTCCTGAAAGTAATTTGAGCATATAAATACATATAAATATTAGAATGCTATAGGCATGTACGAAATTAAAATACTCTCTAATGGCATTATAATCAGCTCCTATACTTCAAAACTTAATGTCTTATTTGTATCAAATGAGCTCTACACGTGTGTGGTAGCCCTTATTTTCTATAACTGTCACTGTACTCACCCTACAAATATGTGCCTCCAGCACCAACAGAACGCAGTGGAAAATAACCTCCATGGAAGCTCATAAAAAAAACAAAACAAAACTGCAAAGCACCCAAGGAAACAAAGAGGTTTAAGGGGTCAGTAATACAATACATGAGATTCATGACTTAATGATTATAGAGCATAGATCAATGTGAAATATTTTAAGATGTGTGCAATGGGGGCGCCTGGGTGGCGCAGTCGGTTAAGCATCCGACTTCAGCCAGGTCACGATCTCGCGGTCCGGTCCGTGAGTTCGAGCCCCGCGTCAGGCTCTGGGCTGATGGCTCGGAGCCTGGAGCCTGTTTCCGATTCTGTGTCTCCCTCTCTCTGACCCTCCCCTGTTCATGCTCTGTCTCTGTCTGTCCCATAAATAAATAAAAAACGTTGAAAAAAAAATTTAAAAAAAAAGATGTGTGCAATGGACTAAATATTTGTGATGTTCCCAGATTCCTATGTTGGAGCCTTCACTTCTAGTATGCTTGTATTTGGAGATGGGGCCTGTAAAAAAGTAATTCAGATCAAATGAGGTCGTAAGTATGAGGCCCTCGTCTGATGAGATTAGTGTGCCTTTAATAAAAGACACTAGAAAGTTCAATCTTTCTCTCTCTGCGCCCACACACCAAGGGAAGTCTGTGTGAGGGTATAACGAGAATACAGCCATCCACAAGCCAGAAAGTGAGCACTCACCAGGTACCAGCCATGCTGGCACCCTGGTCTCAGACTTCAGGTTTCTAGAACTGTGAGAAAATAAATTTCTGTGGTTTAAAAGCCTTCTAGTCTGTGGTATTTTGTCATAACAGCCCACCAGCCTAATACAGTATGTTCAATATGTTCAAAGAAATAAAGGAAAAAGAAAGCATTAAGACAAGAAGAGGATATAACGGTAACAGGCACAGGTGAAAAAGAACCATAGAAATAGAAATGAATATATAGCAACTGAAAAAAAAAACGTAGAACAGATAGAGCAAAGAACATTGCATATGTGGCTGATGGGGGCAAAGAAAAGGTAAAAAAGTAAACGGTGTTGCATAATATCCTCTTCCATTAATGTCTCACACATGCTTGTTTGTCTTAGATGGGCTGGTCTGTTCCCCCTGCTCCTTTTGGTATTCCTTTTAGTCAGAGGTTGAGTTTTCTCTACTTGTTTCTCCTTTTGTTCTGTAATACTAGTAGAATTACTTTTGTATTTTACTCTTCCTTCATTGCTATCATTTATTCTTCCTTCAATTTGCTATCCACATGGAAAAAGATATGAGGTCATTATCTCAACATCATGGGATAAATAATCACACCAATTCTGGATAGGTAAAAGCATAATTGTGAGCTCCAATTTGAATTACAGAAATACAGAAGAAAGGAGGAGAATAAATTCACAATCTCAGGGCAGGGAAGAATTTCTTGACCGAGACACTAAAACACACCATAAAAGGATAGGATTGATACACCAAAATTCAGAAATTATGTATGATAGACTCCATAAAGAAACATATAAGACAAGCCATGGTTTATCCATGATAAAGATCTACAAATCAGTAAAAAAAAAAAAAAAAAAATCACCTCTAAACAAAATGGAGAACTGATGTCATAGGTAATTTGAAAAGAAACCTAAATGACCAGTGAGCACATGAAATGATTCTTGACCTCATTAGTGATCAAGTAAGTGCAATTTAAGTTGACAAGGTATCATCTTATACCTATGAGGTTGGTAAATAATTAAAATGTCTGTCAATATCAAGTGTTGGGGAAGGTATGACACTGGAAACTTCATACACTGCACGGGTGTGTGCAGGGACAAATGGTAGAAACATTGGGAGAGCAGTAAAACCCTAAAAGCCACTTTGTTATTTCAGGTCAATGAAATTTTGCTCTTTGAGTATTTGAAGGTGGAGAATTCCTTTATGATGTTAGCCCCTTGGGGGCAGAGTTGGAATGGCAAAAGATGTACAGATTATGGAGGAAGATGAGAATCCTGCAGATCCTCTCTGAAGAAACAGCCATGTTGATCTAAAGGTTGTATTTTAGAGTTAGAATACTAAAATCTTCAGAATTTCACAACCAGAATCAAACTTAAAAATCATCTAATCTACCTCATTGATTTAAAACTCAAGGAAAATGGAGGCTTATTATCATGCCCAAGGTCCAGGCCTTTTTCTAGAAGTCTCTGGCTGTGAATCCTGTCCAACCAGTAATGTGAAGCTGGCCTCCTGGCTGAGGAGGAAGGTAGGAAGCCATTTGGAGCAGAGGATGCCCCAGGAAGTGGGGACATGCCCGATCCCTGTGGTGGGCTCTGCCTCATAAGGAAGTTCTAGACCAGCAGTCAGCACGGAACACAGAGCAGGCGAGTGCCCCTACCTCTTCACCACTGTACTGCTTTAGGCAGTTGAGGAAATGACATGTATTGGAAAGCCAAAAAGATAGCATCTCAAAGTCTTCTAAATGTTCCTAAAAAAAAAAAAAGAAAGAAAGAAAGACAAAGTTGGATTTGGTCACTACTGGTACCTTTGAGCCAAGCACAGATGTATCTCACCTGTTTACTTAGCTTGTTGGCTTTTGATCAAAATGAATTCTTCTTTTATTCACCCAAGATTTTATTAAATTTATATACTGTAATGATAGGCTTTTATGTTTATTTAGCAGGTTATGGTTTGCAAAGTATTTCTGTATAGGTCACTTAGTATGAAACTTGATACAGGCACTGCAGGAGTGCCTGATAAAGGTAAGACTGGGGTCTTGCTTTCTGGAGTTCTCATTCTGACTGGGAAGAATGTTGCATATAACATAACGTATGCAGGACACAATTAAATAGGGGGCTGAGCACCTGCAGGGTGGACATAGATGATGCCACAAAAGCTCAGAGGATGGAAAGACGCTGATGAAAGAGGGCAGCTGAGAAAGCCTCCTGAGAAGGGGAGAGAATGCTGCCTTGAAGGAAAGGGGTGGAGGGACCAGAGCTCAGAAGCGAGGACTGTCTTGGGAAGAACAGCCCCACTTGTGGGGCAGCAAGAAGAGGAAGAAAGAAGGTAGAGGTGTGGTGGTCAGAGAGGTAAGAGGAAAACTGGGACAGTCCTGGGATTTGAAGGACAAAGTAGGATGGTTTCAAAGAGGTGGTCTGAAAGCTTTAGTCCCTTAGAGGAGGATAAAAATTAAGGAGAAACCACTGGATTTAGCAAGAGGAATTACTGGTGATCTTTTTGTGCAGTGACAGAGATGAAGCCAGATTGCAGGAACTAACCTGCTAATGTAAGCACCTTGGTGAATGGAGAGGCACAGAGATGCGGGGGCGCAGGGCCAAGTGAGGGCTGCTTTAATGCGCTGTGTGCTGGAGCTGGGGAGGGGCAGTCCTGGACACCAGCAGAGGCAGAGGCAGGGAGCCACTGGGGAAGCTGACTGGGAAAATGCTGGTGAGGAAGGATTTCTATTCCTCATGCCATGCATCTTCTAGTTTCTAAATATTTAAAGATTCCAGAGTGGCAAGAGGAGGCAAGTACCGTGTACCCATGGCCTGGGACACAATGCACGTCTGTCCTAAGGAAACCCAATTTATGAAATTATGGACAGGGAAAACATCAACTTATGGGGGTCTCTTCCCAGAACACCCTGGTGGCTCTTGTGAATATTGTGACTAGAAAGCACGCAAAGCACCAGACAAATGTTAATTTTCTATTCTAACTCCTGATGAATAATGAATCCTCATGGCCGGACATCTCATACCCTGAAGGGGTAGAAGTGCTGGGGGTGTTGGCTACCCGGCTGTAGTCTTGAAGGTAAGGTTTTGAGGTCTGTTGGCACATCTTTATCCTTGGGGATCCCTAACCTAACTTGTCTTTTCCAAACAGCTTGACTTCTTTCACAGAGTGGGCCTCTGACTAATTTAAGGAATCGCGTGATTCACCGAAGACTAGAGGTGAAGAATGGGCCAGGGATGAACCCTTAAGGTGTTCTTAAAGTAACTAAAATACCAAAGGCCATTGTCAAAGGCAGTTCCTACCTTAACCACCTGCTTGATGCCACTAATGATGCTGTTCATGAGGGACTTGAGCATGTTGGCGTCGTTTAGAGAGTCTGCGTAGCGCACACACATGAACAGGATGTGAGCGGGCAGCCCTGGGATCATGTTCACCACCACACCACGAGGCTTCAAGTCTGGAACAGAAAGAGTCAATGAGGACTACAGCTGATCGATAGCCAGCTCTCCCCATAAGGAGCCTCTGACTATGGGACAAGGGTTATTTGCTTTTCTGTACTTGATACAATGCCTGAAAGCACAGGCCCATCTTTTCTCTTTGAGGAATTCAGTCTGGTTCTTTTCCTGGCAAAAATATACAGGTACCGCCTGTTCCTCTTACTTCCCATTTGCAAAGGACTTTCTCTCTTTTTTTTTTTTTTTTAAAAAGGCTGAATTTTAGATAGAATTTGTACTTCTTCCTGGCATGGAGACCCTGGATTTCAGCCCTCCAATGTAAGGGAAAAACCCCATGCCCATGCACCCGACTCCAGCCTGTGTGATGAGGATGGGATACGATCTCAGTGATCACAAACATCTTCCCTGAATCAGGAAAACAGACACACTATAGTCCTGCAGAGGCGGGCCTCGCTGACCTTGAGAAGAAGAGAATGGCAGGAGGAGACATTGGGGATAAAGGGAAGAGAGAAACTTTATAGAATAAACTCAGGTAAGCAAACAAAGACCTCCCCATGGCTGCATTAAGACAGAGGAATGAAGAGGCCCCACGGCTGTGCACAAGTGAGGCTAGAAAGGAAAGGGTACAGGTGGCTCATGTGCTCTGGTGGGGGAGTCACCTAGAAGAAGAGGAAGTTAGGCTACACATCAGCTTTCTGCTTTATCTTGAGACCAGCTTATAAAAGGCAGCTTTTCTCTTTCCCACTGGAAAACCATGTGATTTTCAGGTGAGGACAGTTTAGTAAGATTGGTTCTAAGACCACCAACACTTGAGCATGCACATTGGAACATTCCTGTAACTGAAATGTGTTTGGGAAGCTCCCATCACATTGCCTGCAAATAAAATTCTCAGCAGAAGTCGAATGGGACATGGAACCACAGTTACTTCTGCCATTGCTCCTGTGCTGAGACACAAAGATGAGAGGATGTGTCTTCTATCTGGATCCTATGATTAGACTTTGGAAGGGGTGAGGGCAATACTTCTTAACTGAGGGCAATTCTGGCTCCCAAGGGACATTTGGCAATGTCTGGAGATGTTTCTTATTGTCATGACTAGGGGTTGTTACTGGTTTCTAGAGAGTAGAAGTCAAGGATGCTACTTAATATCCTACAATACACAGCCCCCACACAACAACCAATTATCTGGTCACCAGTGCCGAGGTTAGGAGACTCTGGGCTAGGAGAAGCAGCAGTGGAGGAAGAGAAATGACTATTCCCACCCATGATGGTAGCAATGACTGACAGAGCAAACATTCAGACTTCCAGGTCTCACTACCGAGAATGAGGTTTTGAATGAGCTTGTCCTCATCTTCTGTCTTGTATTCCAGCATTCCAAGATACTCCTTGGGTCTTGAGGACAAGTGCACATCATTGCCTATAGGCAGAGGCAAACAATCAGCTAAATTCACAGAAACAAGCTCCCACAGGCTTTATAATGAGACTGCTCTCTTTCCACCCCATTCTGGCTGGCTTGCACACAAATGCCTGCGGCTTTCAGATAAATGGAAACTTGATTAATCCCAAAGAATTCCTCTGGTAGTGATTCTTATCTGCAACTATATCAATGAGTATAGCTGTCGCTGAAAAGGCAGAATGATCCTTAAAGGGCTCCTCATGAGTGCCCGGTATGAATCCAGCACAGTGCGGATAAGAAAGCAAGCCAAGATGTTGCTTCTGTCTTCAAGATGCTGATGTCACAGTCAAGGAAACAAGATTCATGAAACAGTAGGTGAGCAAAGTACCAAACTGCATGATCCTAAGGGGGCTGTATTAGCTTCCTATGTGCTGTAACAAGTTACCACAAACTTAGTGGTTTGACATACTACAAATTTTCCTATCTTACAGTGCTGGAGGTCAGAAGACTGAAATGGATCTTACATGTTGGACTACAATTAAAGTATCAGCAGAGCTAAGTTCTGGAAGCTCTAGTGGAGAATCCGCTTCTTGCCTTTTACAGCTTCTAGAGGCTGCCCACATCCCCTGGATTGTAGCCTCTGCTTCCTCTGACCTCTGTGTCCATCACCATGTCTGTCTGTCTGTCTCTTTGCTTCTGTTGTCACATCACCTTGTTTCACTCTGGCATTCCTGCCCCTCTCTTATGAGGTCTCTTGTGATTATACTGGGTCCACCTAGATTAATCCAAGGTAATCTCCCCATCTCAAGATCCTCAATTTAATCACATTGGCAAAAATCCCTTTTGTTGTGTAAATAACACACCCACAGGTTCTGAGGACTGTGATGTGGACATCTTTGGGTGAGCCAGAGTCTGCCTTCTGGTCACCAAAGACTCATGTCCATTCTGAGAGGAGATGTAATGCAGAAGCAGAGGTCAGAAAGATTTTTTTTAATGTAATTTATTGTCAAACTGGCTAACATAGAGTATGTACAGTGCACTCTTGGTTTTGGGGGTAGATTCCCGTGGTTCATCACTTACATATAACACCCAGTCTCATCCCAACAAGTACCCTCCTCAATGCCCATCACCCCTTTTTCCCTCCCCTCCACCCCCCATCAACCCTCAGTTTGTTCTCTGTATTTAAGAGTCTCTTATGGTTTGCCTCCCTGTTTGTAACTTATTTTTCCTTCTCTTTCCCCATGGTCTTCTGTTAAGTTTCTCAAGTTCCACATATGAGTGAAAACATATGATATCTGTCTTTCTCTGACTGACTTATTTCACTTAGCATCATTCCTTCCATTTCCATCCATGTTGCTGCAAATGGCATGATTTCATTCTTTCTCATTGCCAAATAGCATTCCATTGTATATATAAACCACATCTTCTTTATCCATTCATCAGTTGACGGATATTTAGGCTCTTTTCATAATTTGGCTATTGTTGAAAGCACTGCTATAAACACTGGGATACATGTGCCCCTATGAATCAGCAAGAGAAAGATTTTGAAGATGCTATGCTGCTGAATTTGAAGATGGAGGAAGGGACCCATAAGCCAAGAAATGTGGGTGGCCCCTAGAAGCTGGAGAGGCAAGGGACAGGATTCTCCACTAAAGCCTCCAGAAAGAACTCAGCTCTGCTAACATGTTGATTTTAACTCTGTGAAAAACATTTTGGACTTCTGACCTCCAGGACCGTAAGATAATAAATTTGTGTTCTACTAAGTCACTAACTTTTGCTGATTTGTTACAGCAGCTACAGGAAATTCACACAGGGGCCATGAGAATGTACACAGAAGTGGGTTGGAACTGTTAAAAAATGAAGGAGGTAGCACACCTGTTGGGCCAAGAAAGGTGAGTAGGGTCTGGTGGGTGAAAAAGAAGGTGATGCAAGTACTGTTAACAAAACTTTCTTACTACTGCATGAAACTTTCTCCTGTTAATTTAATAAATTAGGTCTGTTCCCTTGGAAACTAATAAGGGTAGAACGCCAACTGTTTTAGTAAGCAATGCTGTTTATGATAAGAATGATACTGCAACCTGTTAAGCTTTCAGATGACCGTGTCCCTGCTGATGACTTGAAGGCAGCTCAGGGCCAGAACCACATAGCTAAACTGCTCCATCATTCCTGACTCTTGAAATGGTGTGTTGCTAAGTGTTTGTTGTTTTAAGTTGCTAAATTTGGGGATAGTTTGTTATATGACAATGGATAACTAACAGGAAGGGAAGCTGATGTATTCCACTTAGACACATTGAGTTGGAGGAGGTAATAGAAAGGCAAAGGAGGTAGTCTTGGAGACAAAAAGGGACCAGGACTCAAGAAAAAAACTGAGGAGTGGGAGGTGGAGTTTGGAAGTCCTTACGTTGAGATGGCAGTTCATTCACTCATTCCAAAAACAGGGACACAATGGGAGCTTTGAGAGGGCAGACCTGATTTATCATTATTGATGGAGAAATCCTCATGTTGCTGTTGGGCATTTTGAGTTTGAGGTGAGAGTGGAATAAAGAATAATAAAGGAGCTCTTCAAAAGTGTGAATACAGTAAAAGGAACAGAGAGTTTGAGGTACAGACTTAGTGATCCAGTTTGGGAGGAAGAGGAAGTGATACGAAACAAGAGTCAAGAACATTAGAAGAGAGAAGTCAGAAAAGTTCAGACTCAGAAGCAGGGGAAGGAAAGAAAAGCCTAGGGGCCTTTTCACAGGAGTTCATGAGGACATTCAAAATGTGAAGTTCATATTCAGGACTACTGTCTGGCTTCTTAGCTCTCTACTTCTTTCTTCTAATAGAAATGGAGATATTAATCCTCTGTAACTGGGAGAGGAAGAGAATTTTAAAGAGGTTACGTTTGAAACTTGATTACAGTTTCATTTTTAAAAGGGGAGAGTTAATAGCAGAAGAGGTTAAAAGTATTCATTACAGGGTGTCCCTTGCAATTACATGAGTGCATCTGGAATTATCTGAGGGCTGGTGAGCTATCCTCGGCCCAAAGGATCTTTCCATTAGTCCATCACCGAGCCCCCAACCTCACCAGCTGACAATCATTCCTTTGAGTTTTAAAGACTCTGGACCACATCAGGAATCAAACGGTGCCTGTGGACCTTAGCTGACAGTTCCAAAAAGTAGGAAAGGGAATATTATTTTTCCTACCCTTTTCAATCGTCTTGCTTAGAGTTTTAACTTGATCTTGGAGCTTTTTAATCACTCTGTCCTTCATGTCTAACTCCTCTTCAAGATCCTACAGAAATCAAAAGAAACAAGGACATGAGCTTAGAAGCATCTTAATCTATTTTTTGGTAACAGTTTTATTCAACAATAATTCACATACCATATAATTCATTCAAAAAGTGTACACCAAATGGTTTTCTAAAGTCAGCTGTACAAACATCACCATTATCGATTTCTAGAACATTTTTATCACACCAAAAAGAAACCTGTAACTTTCAGCAGTCATCCTCTTGTTCCCCTATTCCCTTCTAGTCCTTGGTAATCACTAATCTGCTTTATGATTCTATATTATTGGCTTCTTCTGGACACTTAATATAAATGGAATCATATAATATGTGGCCTTTTGTGTCTGGCTTCTTTCACTTAGCATGTTTTTGAGGCTCATCCATGTTGTACTATGTGTCAGTATTTCATTCCTTTTTGTGGCTGAAAAACACCCTATTGTATGGATATGCCATATTTATCTTGATCTATTTTTTCTTAATAAAGTAGTGCCCCTTGTAGATAATTTAGAAATATGAATGTGTGAAAATAGGTTCTCTGGATATCAGAGTCTGGAGGCAGAGAAACTTCAGAGGTTTGGGTCCTGGCTTTGTGTTTCCTTCCTAATAATGGAGTGGCCTTGCTCATGCTGAATTTGGCTCAAAAACCAGCAGGGTCTGCCTACAGATATGCCTTAGATGCCTACAAATATGTCTTAGAAAGGGCAAAATGTTGGGGCGCCTGGGTGGCTCAGTCGGTTAAGCGTCCGACTTCGGCTCAGGTCACGATCTCACGGTATGTGAGTTCGAGCCCCGCGTCGGGCTCTGTGCTGACTGCTCAGAGCCTGGAGCCTGTTTCAGATTCTGTGTCTCCCTCTCTCTCTGACCCTCCCCCGTTCATGCTCTGTCTCTCTCTGTCTCAAAAATAAATAAACGTTAAAAAAAAATTAAAAAAAAAGGGGGCAAAATGTTTAGGCTCTTCCTAAATCCCAAAGGTTTTGGCCCAGAAAAGATTCAGGCTTCTCAGATCCAGCAGTACCCACCATACAATCACTATAGCCATGTGCCCTCTGGGGACTCTGAGGGCCAATGGAAACTGTGCTGTTTCTACTCTGTGGCTACCTCTCCCTTCCAACAGTTCTCCCGGTGAATAAGGATTTTGTTCAGAGTGTTCATCATAGTGTTATTACTTGTAGCCAAAAAATCCAATGTCCAACAATAGTGGGTAGAATAAATTGTTGTGTATCCTATGACTTAGGTATTAAAATGACAGCTTGCATATATTATCAATGACAATGGGAAAGTATCTTCAATATAGTGTGAGAAAAAATACAGAATTTAAAACTTTATATGCAGTATGACCCCAATTTTATAAAATGTGTATTACCATGGTAGAAAAAAGAAGAAAGGAATAAAATAAATCAAAATGTGAACAGTGGTTTCCTCCAGGCTCTCATTGACTGGTGACTTTTTTTATTATTAGATGAATTTTAGGATGGGCTGAGATAGGAGGGAAGGAACTGTACCCACACCCCTACTTGTAAGAACAGATAAAGTTCTTAATGTGTTTCTCCAGAGACACAGAACTGAGACCCCAGGGACACACAGAGGCATTGCTGTGGAAGTCAGGACAGCCACCCACACGTGCTCAGTAGGAAGCTGCTTCTCTACAGTCTGAATACAGGCTATTCACTGAGAAAGTTCTATCTCCCTCAAAAAAAGTTGGACATCATCTAGGTGCCCCTGACTGGAACTTGTTACTTTCTATTAAATGTTAAACTCTTTGGATTTCTTTAGATATAATTCTTCATCAAAGTTAAATCCTGATATTGCAAAATAAGATTTTACCCCCTCATGGTTTTCTGTGAGATAATGGGGGGTCCTTATGGTACTGGCACAAAATAGGCACATAGATCAATATAACAGAATAGGAAACTCAGAAATGAACCCACAAGTATATGGGCAATTAATCTTTGACAAAGCAGGAAAGAATAACCAGAGGACAGTCACTTTAAGAAATGGTCTTGGAAAAGATGGACAGTAACATGCAAAAGAATGACATAGAACTACTTTCTTATAACATACAGAAAAATAAGCTCCAAATGGATGAATACCTAAATATGAGACAGGAAACCATCAAAATACTAGGAGAACAAAGGCAGTAGCCTCTTTGACATCGGCCATAGCAACTTCTTTATAGTTAGGTCTCCTGGGGCCAGGGAAAAAAGCAAAAACAAACTATTGGGACATCATCAAGATAAAAAGCTTCTGCAAAGTGAAGGAAACAATCAACAAAACTAAAAGGCAATCTACAGAAAGGGAGATGACATTTGCAAATGACATATCTGAGAAAGGGTTAGTATCCAAAATCTATAAAGAACTTATAGAACTCAACACCCAAAAAACAAATAATCCAGTTAAAAAATGGGCAGAAGACATGAACAGACATTTTTCCAAAGAAGACATCCAGATGGCTAACAGACACCTGAAAACATGCTTAACATCACTCATCACCTGGGAAATAAACATCACAACTACAATAAGCTATTACTTTATTCCTGTCAGAATGGCTAAAACCAACAACACAGGAAACCGCAGGTGTTGGTGAAGATGTGAATATAGGGGAACCCCCTTACATTGGGGGTCAGTGTAATAAGTCAGCCAGAAAAAGACAAATACCATAAGATTTCACTCATATGCAAACTGGTGCAGCCACTCTGAAAAACAGTACGGAGTTTCCTTAAAAAGTTAGAACTAGAACTACCCTACAATTCAGCAATTGCACTATTAAGTATTCACCCAAAGGATACAAAAATACTGATTCAGAGTATTTAATGCTGTTGTAATATTTGATAATACTGCTATAAACATTGCACCCCAATGTTTATAGCAGCATTATCAACAATAGCCAAATTATGGAAATATCCAAAGTGTCCATTGGCTGATGAATGGATAAACAAGATGTGGTATACACGCACAGACACACACACTCATGCATGCACACAATGGAATACTACTCAGCAATGAAAAAGAATGAAATCTTGCCATTTGAAATGATGTGGCTGGAACTAGAGAGTATTATGTTAAGTGAAATAAGTCAGTCAGAGAAAGATGAATACAATATGATTTCATTCCTGTGTGGAATTTAAGAAACAAAACAGATGAACATAGGGGGTAAAAAAGAGGCAAACCAGAAAACAGACTTTTAACTATGGAGAACAAACTGAGGGTTGCTGGAGGTGAGGTGGGTAGAGGGATGGGTTAAATGGGTTATGGGTATTAAGGAGGGCATTTGTTGTGATGAGGACTGGATGTTGTATGTAAATGATGAATCATTAGATTCTACACCTGAAACCAATGTTATTCTGTATGTTAACTAACTGGAATTTAAATAAAAACTTTGGGGGAAAAAAAAGAAATGGCGGGTCCTGACAATAGGATGCAGAGCCTGGGATGCAGCCTGTCCAGGGTGCTGACCACTGCCCAGGGAGCCCTCCGCTGGTCATAGACTTGGGAGGCTCAAAGGCCAGGAAGCGGCCCGAGCAGTCTGACTCCCAGGAAAGTGGCCCATGGGCCATGATGGTGCTTCTCAGGCTTGTGGGTTTCACACACCAATAAAATTTCAAAAGAATTGCTGGGGACTGACTTAGAGTAGCGGAATTTCTTTCTGACAAGGGCATTTAAAATGTGATGAAGATTTTAACAATTTAAGGTGTCTGTCATCTACCATCATGATCATTTCACAGAAGAACATTTTGACTTGAAAAACTGTAGGAAGGGCACACCTGCAAAGCAAGGAGGGCCCCTCACTGTGGAAAGTCTTGCTTAGGGAAGTTCCCACATCAGCCTGTCATTCTCGGTGTGTTCTGGACCAGAACGGTTGAGACAGGTGCCATCTGTAGGACAGTGCTCATGTCTCCTCTCATCCTCCCTTTACTTTATCGGACACTTTGCTTGTGTGGCCCGTGCTAAGCCCCCAAGGCTCAGCAGCAGGCTGTAACCTCAGAGACCACCTGTCTCCCGAGAGCAGGAAACACACTGCTCTCACGGTGGCTGTTCATTGCATGCGTTAGGTGACATGTTCCCCCCTCCCCCCTTCAGTGACATCTGCACACAGTCATTTATCAAGTTGGGAAACTTCTCACCCTGTTTTCCATAGTGAGCCGAGATGCTTCCTGTCGGAAACTACTCTTGACTTCACTTTCACTTTCAAATTGCTTCTTCAAGAGCTCGCTGGCCTGCTGCATTTCTTGAATCTTACTGATCAGCTTCTCTTTCTCTTTGGTGTGTATTTCATTTTGGGCCTCTAAGGTCCTGACAAAGGGATAAAGGAAATTGTGTAACAGTTTGACTGTCATGGAGAAGTCACTCATTGTCATAGCAAAAACTGATTATTTCCAAAGGCAGAAAAATACTTCGGCCAATTTATGTATAAGGTGAATAGTACTCGAGTAGAAATGCCCTCGAAGTGGGGATGGGGGGGGGGGGGGGCAAAGATCAGGGCTGGCTGTGTATAAAATTGTCTATGACTGCCCTGGTCTCCTTAACCTGATGGAGATTCTTGCCTCCACTCCGCCAGGGGCTGCTGAGGGCTCCCACGAGGCATCCACACCCACTCATGCCCTTAAGACAGAAAGCCCGATGATTATCTCCTTCGTGAAAGGCCTGGGGACCAGACTCTCAAAAAGCCAGGGATCAGAGAGAAGCAGCAGCCCATCAAGAGTTCCAAGACAGTGTCTCCCCACTTTCCTACTCTTTGGGGCCCTCATTTCATCCCTCTCCTACCAATGAAGTCACATGACTAAAAATGTTCTCTAGGACATATTGTGTCCATGTATTGCCCTGAGAATCAAGTATGTCAGTGAGCTGGCAGCAAAAATTTTCCTCACGAGGCTCCACCAGAGCGCCAGGCCCTCTGCTGGTCAGAATGCAAATTTGGGGCGATTAACAGTGAAGATTCTCTGTCAGCACAGATTTCAAGTCTTACTCTAAACGGTTTGCTATAAGAAAATCTCTTCTCTCACACACAATCTTATTTCATCAGTTTTTTAAACAGATTATCTGTGTGTGTGGCATGACATTCTAACAGTATAAAAGAGTATGTGGTGAGAAGTAAGTCCCCTTCCCTCCCCTGTGTGCCAGCCATCCAGTTACCCTCCCTGGAAGCAGGCGATGTTTTGGTTCTTGTATGTTTTCCCAGGGTGTGTGTGTGTGTGTGTGTGTGTGTGTGTGTGTGTGTGTGTACATATGTGTTTCTTTCCTTCACATTTAAATGGTAATGCATCATATTACCTTAATCAGCACCTTGCTGTTTTGGCTTAATAACATATGTTGGTATCTCCCACAATTTCAGAAAAGAAAAGCATTTACGTGAGCATGAACATCACAAACATACACGTTAACACTTACTTTCTTTGTGTTCCCTCCTCTTCTTGATTGTGGTTCAACTGGTTAGACAATTCTTCCAGTTTTCCTGTAGTGAGAAGACCTGCCATTACTTTGGGGGCTATATGGCACCCTGATTCGGATTTGGTCGTACTTTCAGTTATCAGGGGTCCTAAGCTGTTTCCTGGTAGAGGTTTTGTTTGGTCTGAACAATGTTTAAAAATTTTTAGGTGTGCCTGGGTGGCTCAATTAAGCATCCGCCTTTGACTCAGGTCATGATCTCTCAGTTCATAAGTTTGAGCCCCACGTCGGGCTCTGTGCTGACAGCTCAGATCCTGGAGTCTGCTTCAGATTCTGTATTTCCCTCTCTCTCTGTCCCTTCCCCACTCATGCTGTGTCTCTTTCTCCAAAATAAAAAGACAAAAAATTAAAAAGTTTTAAAGCCATTATTCTAAAGTTGTCATATTTCACATAAAAATATGGATTTCTGGCTTTTCTTTAAAAATAGGATCGAGGGCACCTGGGTGGCTCAGTCGGTTAAGCGTCCAACTCCTGGTTCGGGTTCAGGTCATGATCTCACGGTTCCTGAGTTTGAGCCCCACATTGGGTACTGCGCTGACAGTGCAGAGCCTGTGTAGAATTCTCTCTCTCCCTCTCTCTCTCTCTCTCTCTGCCCCTCCCACATGCTTTCTCTCTCTCTCTCAATAAATTAATTAAACAATTTTGAGTTAAAAAAATAAGACTATCAAACAACACTGAGGCCAATTTGCCTACTTGGCAACAATCAATGGAGCTCGGAGGCTGGGGCACCTTACTGCCTCCTCCACTCAGCCCCCTTCTCACATTTGTCACTTGGCTGGGCCCCTGGAGAATCAGAGTCTGAGATCCCTGGGTACAATGACTTTTCTGTCATTTCTAGGACACAGGAAACTATCTTCTAAAAGCACTTCCGTGACAGTTGCAAGTACCTTTCATGCTTTCAGTTTGTTCATTCAGGCGGATTTCCAGATCTTGCTTCTGCTTCTCCAGCTCTGAAATTTGCTGTTTGAAGTCTGGGATCATCTTTAGAGAAGAATCAGAAATATTTGAATATAAAACGCTTTCATCTCTGAACTTTAAAATCTCAGAGCTACTCAGAAGCAAACTGACCCTCTAGGAGTCTAACCCCAAGGAGCGTACATCTAGCATAGTTGTGTGTGAGGGCCAGCTGAGGTGTTAGACTGGTTTGGCATTATGGTTTTATACCTCAGGATCTGTACAGTCACAAGCAATACCAGCATGTTCAGAGGGACTGGTTCTCACATGCTACAACCTTCTTTCCAGGGGGAGAAGGAAGTACACAGTCTGGAGGGCATCACGGGGAGGGGGGAGGGGCTCTGCTGAGATGAGGGCAATGTGAGCAAACAGAGGGCAGCCTTTTTGGCCAAGGCCCAGAGATGCCATCTCCTCATCCAGGAACAGGAAAATCATCTCAAAGAGGTCCCCCCGCGCCCTGTGAATTCTAGGCGGTGCACTGCTCTGTTAGTGGAGGTCTGGAATGGTCCAGTATGTCTCACAGTCCTCTGTCCTTGTCTTCTGTATTTCTTTAAATGTCATTCACCTCCACCCTCAGTTAGATAAATGGCTTTTCTGTCGTCCAAGTTTGTAAGAACAACTGTGCTTCTGAAGCAAATGAAGAAAACTTGTTTGTGCACGAAGATGTATGTTCCACATTATTCCTCACTAACATTTCATCCAAAGAATAAACAAAGACATGAAGGGCCTTAATCACCGTTCCACATGTTTGCTGTGCCCATGGTCACGTCTCCTCACCTGGGACGCAGCCTTGCAATTTCCTAACACTCTCAGGTTAGGCAGAGGAGAAGGAAATGGTAAGAAAGGTGACAAGGTGCAGCCTCTAGAGAGGTGGCTTGAGAAACCCCAGGAAAGTGTGGTATCGTGGAAGGAGGCAGAACAAAAGCAGGCATGAAGAGGGAGTGATGATGTCACCAGATGTTGCTGAGAGACAAGATAAGGGTGAAAAAGAAGGTGGCTGTGGGGTAAATGGGGGATGAGTTGAGAAATCAGTTAGGTGGCCACTGAGAAGTCTGGCCAGCTCCCCCCAAAAAATGGGGTGGTGACTGCAGGTGATGTGGGGTTAAGAAAGGGATGTTCTTTGAGGAGATTCTTATAGCATTTCTCAGTGGCTAGAGGCTTGAGTTGGAAGAAAAGATGAGACAAACTCAGAAGGAAGGAATCCTGGAAGAGAGAAGCCCTTGAAAAAATGAGATAAGAGGCACATCATCTCTGCTCACAGCACAAGCAGAAGGATGGACCTGAACATATGTCCCACTCAAGAGTTACCCTTCTTACCTTAGGGTTTTTTTGTCACTTGCCAAGGGGTTAGGGCTAGACTTAAAATACATAGGTTTAAACACACACACACACACACACACACACACACACACACACACACACACCAGAATTTGGACCCATTCTATGGTAAACAAACCCCCTCTCACATCAAAGTGCTTTCCAGCCTAGGGTAATTTTATAGATTTATCTTCTTTGTAAAAAATAATTAATTAATTTTAAAAACAAAGTTCTTTTTTTTTTTTTTAAGTTTATTTATTTTGAGAGAGAGAGCGAGGATGAGCCAGGGAGGGCCAGAGTGAAAGGGAGAGAGAATCCCAAGCAGGCTCTTCACTGTCAATACAGAGCCTGACATGGGGCTCAACTCAGGAACTGTGAGATCATGACCTGAGCCAAAATCAAGAGTTGGGCCCTTAACTGAATGAACCACACCCCCAGGTACCCCTATAGTTTTATCCTCTGACCCAGTTATTTCACTCCTAGAAAACATAATTCTGATCCATCATTTACTGCCAAGAAACTGAGTTTTATTTCACTAACAAATGACATCTCTAGAATAATGGCCACACCTGGGGCCCACAGATAAGACCATACCATGTTTTCTGATGTCAGCCTGGTAACTTCATGACGGATACTTTCATTGATGTCAGTCTCTTCTCTAAATAATTTCTGCAGGTGGTTGATTTCTTGACTTAGATGTACCACTTTGAAGTTCAAAGCTTCAATCTCCTTTTCATAGCAATCCTTCTGGGACTGGAAATGGCTTTCCAAAACACTGTCAGAGGACGGGTCAACAAATTAACCACTGGTTTTTATTCTGCCATGTTGTTGACTGTGAGTGTGTACATGTGCAGCAGTTATGAAAATTCACAATTAGAGCCATGCTAAGTATATAATTTTACTTATGTACACATAGTTACACGCTATGGAACTGGGTACACAGGATTATAAAATCCTTCTAGTTAGTTAGGAAGCATTATGTGCATTAACATGCAGTTAATAATAAGAAATTATAGACACTATTAAAATTGCATGTTAATAGTTTAAGAATATTTTCTGTATGATGCAACAATATACATTCATTATGCATTTGTCCAGCCTCATAGAATGTACAACACCGACAGTGAACCCTGAAGTAAACTACTGATTTTTGATGATAATGACAGATCAGTTTAACAGACATACCACTCTGGTGGGGGATTCTAATGCTGATTACATGGGGGCAGGGGAAGGGAAATATCAGGGAAATCTCTGTACTTTCTGCTAAATTTTGCTGTGGACCTAAAGTTGTCCTAAAAATAAAGGTTGTATGTAAAAAATTACAGCAAACTCCTTAAATTTAAACAGTTACATCTCTATAACAACCCTGGCTAACTTATTTGTTTATAATCTGTTTTTACTGTACAGGTTATGGGTTTTATTACTTGCAAGTTTATCCTTTAAAAAGATTGTTTTCCATTATTCAACTCATTATTTAATTCTCAAAATATTTCGAGTGATTACTAGATCATCCTACTGTAAGGAATTTCCTTGTGTGTCAAATCTGTGGAATATAAACTTCTGACTTTCCTCTATCTATCATCTCTGAAAATAAAAAAAGAACTCTGAGGGGGAATTTCTCACTGTGTTGCTTTCTTCAGTCCTTCATAAGCAAACCAAAGTTCTCCATCCTCATTTAAATGTTCCAAATCTTCCAAAGAGAGCCTGGAAAATAAGGAAGGGTAAGAAAAATCTATCATCTCTCTCATGTGTTCCATGTTCCTAAATATTTGGTAATGCAAAAATGATTACCTGCTTCTTACATCTTCAATGTCATAGCTTTCAAGAAGTTGTTTGGTGATCTCGGACATCTTTTCTGAGAGGAAGAGGCAGAGCTGATATAAATTACATTTTTGAATGTGGTTCCAATTCTCTAGATCTCACACAGAGTCTCCAGCTAACCATACCATCAACTAACTTACTGGCCATTCAACCAAACAACTAACCAACCATCCAACTACGAAGGCAACCAATTATTCAACATACCACATATCCAACCAATCAGCAAACCAACCAGACTTGTGGGCTCAGTGACTCATATTTTTCTTACCTCTCATTTCCCGTTTTTGTGATTGCAAGTGTTTCTCCACATCTATCTTCTGTGTCTGAAGTAGCTCTATCTCCTTTTCAAATTCAGAGATTGTCTGTATCACAGCAGTGACCGTACCAGATGAAGAAAAAAACCGCTATTATGGTTTATGTCAGACAAAGAGAATACCCTTACTGTGTCGTGTATCTACCCAAGACATCCTTACCCAGTTAAAATCTTGTTAAATCATCACTGCCTACACAGTATGGTCTTGAAGCATGTTTAACTGCTCAAAATATTGTTACCTATTCCCAGATGTAGTTGGTTGTAGCAACAGAATTAGTTTCCTTACCACATAAAGGGAAGAAATAGCTCCTTACTACAGGGGTGGGCTGCTGTGGGGAGGAAGAGGACCCAAGAGAAGTAAAACCTAAGAGGCTAAATTCCTTTTCACTGGATGGTGAACTCTAGGATGCAGGGATGTGGACAAGCCACTACCCTCATAATTGTGGGTTTGGGCTTCTGCCAGGTTTTAATGTGACACATGGCAGAGCCAGGGGTACCCAAGAGGTTAGGAGTTGGCTGTGGGGGTATGATGAGGGTCCACTGAGAGGCAGCACATGTTGTGGGGAAGAGGCTGTATTTTGCCTTTATTACCTTGTGAGGTCAGCCTGAGAAAGAATCACACGTGTGTGTTTTGTAGCTAGGGGAGACATGCAGAGGGAAATAACCCCTCCTTGATATTTTCTCAGTCTAAGTGTTTAAGGGCTAGAGTTCCAGTTTCTTCAGAGGGTGAGAAGGCGGATCCAACTGATATTTACTGATCACTTTACATACACAACCTAATCCTTACAACAGGTCCATGTGGCAATACAGTAATAGTTTAGACAGAAAGCTGAGGCTCCATAAGGTGAAATGGCACACTCAGGGTCACATGGCAAGCTGATGGGGCCCCAGGACCATCCAATCCCAAAGACCTTCTTTTGGTAACACTTCAATAAATTTTTCAAGTCATATATGATCATAATGTTATTCATTTTCTGTGAAAATCAGACTGTCTCCTTAATATATCACATCGAGAGTTTGGAACACAGTTTTAGCTACCAAAGCGGAAGTGCGTGACAAATAGTGATGCCTCACTCCAAGAGCAGCCATAGGACTTCCCAAGATGCAGACTAGCCAGATGACACGACTCCCACAGATTGACATGTCTTATGTGAGCTCCATTCTTATGGAGCAGGCAGAGCGATACGTGATCCTCTCTGATCCCACAGTCCAAAATCCTCCTTTTAAACAATAGGAAACTGGGGTCCAGAGAATACAGACAGTTCTGCCAGGAAGTCAAGAGAAGACTGTGATTCCTAAAGCTCTTCAAAACCATGCATGGCTATTCCGTGACAGTTACAGAGAATATTTGCATAATCTTAACAATATTCTACTAACATGCATTTCACTTATTTCATGGAAGCTTAAAAGCTTTCTAAACTTACACTGAAATGTTTTGCATTGAAGAACACAGAGACATGCAGTTTTGTGTTTTCTGGTAGGGAAGGAATTCAGTTACGCCTTGACTGTGCAAACATGGATCATTGCTTTTGTGGATTTTCTGATAACAATTTAAAATATATGATGCTGATAATAAGGTAGTTTAATTTTAATACAGGTATTTATAGAAATACAACAATGGGATGGGTTGTATAATACGGGTTCACATCAACTTTTAATTTAATTTGAACATATTCTCTAGGTCAACATATTTGAATAGCTTCATATAATTACAAAATAGTTAGAAAGCTGAGTTTTAAAATAGGAAAACCAATTATTGGTAAGTTAAAGGCAGCTTGGGGGTACATCCTTGGAAGAACTGAAGGGATCAGGGTCCTTTTGACTTTGGTCATTATACAGATGCTGTTGGATGTCTGATCCTGTGGGAGTCTGAAACTGCTCCCTCCGTGCAGGTCAGATAACTTAGCCCAAGAGCTCATCTGGCAGTGAGAAGCCCCTTCTACCTTTGCCTGCTTGCTCAGTTGGGCCACCTCCCCCTTTAAGGCATCGGAGGTGACACGTTCTTCCTCCAGTTGGTGCTGCAGGTGCATTTTCTCATCCTTGAGAGCTTGAATGTCTTTTTTCAAAGAGCAGATCTGCTTCTCATAGTCTTGTGTTTTCCGTTCGAAACTTTTTTCAAGAAGTCTAGGTGCAAAAGAAAAAAATAACTCAGAATTTCTCTAAATTTCTTGAACCTGAATTAGAACAATACATCATTTTGGAAATAGTAAGAGGAGACTTGGAAAGGAGACAAGTTAATTAGGATCTACTGTGACAGTTCCAATAGACAATGGCCTTATTTTTACCTGTTTCCTGTCCCCTTAGGTTAGGGAAGTTTCTTATACCTTCTGATCTGATAAATGTGGCTCTACTATGGTCACACGCAAGAAACACAGGGTCGGGAGGCTGAACTCAAAGACTCAGTGGTGGCTGGGATACTGTATTTCTGAATCCATCCTAGTTCTGTGTGGTTCCCTGTGGTCTCTTGGAGGGGTCTCTTCCCTTAGCAGAGACCTTGGCACATTCTGCCAAGTACTAGCCCCTGCCAAGTTCCAAGGATCCTAGAATGGTTTGGCTAGTTCCTAAATAAGTTAATACAACCATTTAACATGTCAAAGGGGCCAGCCACTCAAACATTCTAAAATAAACTACAGCAAATCCAGGTACGCCAAAGTCCCTGGAAACTCAATTCCTTGTGAGATGGTTGCTCAATTAAATATGGGACAATTGACCAAGACAATAAATAACCAAAGAGAGATGTGACCTAGCCCAGCCTGACACAGCCCGGGGCTGGGGGAGGGGGTGTAGTCAGAATTGAAGCAGTCCTAGGGCTCCAGGAGTTTATTAAATCACCATTCTACTTGCTAGGCTGTCATCTCAGTCCATTTTATGACTTGCTTTCACAGCCCAAAGGGAAAATCCCAAGGAAGAGAGTCGCATTCCCAATAGGTTTTTGTTTCATTCACTTTTAGAGATACTAACAAACTTCTTAACCTTGTTTTTACATTTTTCAAAAATCCACAGAGCTCCTAATAGGCCAGTAAAGTACCTTGAAAAGAAGAAAACTGCAACCAAGAATCTATGTTGAAAGAATCTCAGACTTGTACCTAAGCTGGTTGGGAGTGCCCCCCGTCCTCCCAGACTGCTGGCATCTGTACGCTCCTTGAGGGTTGTGACAGGGGCCAAAATGTCCCCTGTCAGCTGATCAAGGGCCAGATCAAGCTACAGGTGAGTGCTTATGAGGACTACAATAAGTTTAAAGTCACCTGGCCCTGGCCTGCCTCTCCAAACCCCTTCTTGAAATGATTGCTCCCAAGCAACCCCAGTGCACCATGAGATGCCAAGAACCAAGCTCCTCTCTTAAAGTTAAGAGTTCATTGGAAAATAAAAATTTCAAGGTGAAGAGCCAAATATCCCTATTTTAAAACTCATATAGGATCATGAAACACTTTGTCTATCTGTTAACTCTTGGAGCTCCTTGGTGACATTTCCTCCCCTAACGTTGTGGCATCCATCCTGCTCCTTACGCAGACCCAGGCTCTTCTGCCAACTAAATGCACAGGAAGTTATATATATATATCCTATCACCCCAGGCAGCCTGAGCCTTGTAGCCCTGAAGAGAAAGATGCCAGGAATATTTTGTTTCTCCCCAGCACCCTGCCACGCATCCCTACTTTGAACACTAAAACCTTTGAGTTGACTCTAAGAGAAGGGAGCGCAGACTGCAGTCTTTAGAAATGAACAAAGGGTTTGGTATTGAGATAGGGAAGGTGGGACTGGTACCGTACAAGGTCATGGGGACCTGCCTTAACTGTTGTGAGGTGCATTCCATCCCTTATCATCTGGGACAAGAATCAAGTTAACAGACACAACAGACAGGGGAGGGAGGACGGTTGGTTTCCTGGGCAGTAATTTTGCTTCTTGGACTTAATGGAAGTTGAAAGGGGTGGCAGTCTCTGAACTCCTGTCTTAGCAATGATGGGAAAGCGAGAACTTCACGGTGGTCCACTGCCCACAGCTGCAGACCCTGTGCAGTGTCTGAAAGGTGCACACTGTGGGATGTGGCTCTCACACGTCTGACTCTCTCACTTCCTAAAAGATTCACCGCCCCCCATCCTGTATCTGTGACCTGCTAGCTGCAAGCGAGAAGCTAAGTATAAAACAGTAGAGAGAGAGAGAAGGAGGCAGTAACTTTAAGGCAAACTAGGTTTCATACATTCTTTGTTGCTCTTCTTTTTGCACATCATCAAAGAGCTGCTTGGTGAGGTTGTCCATTTTTTCTGTGAAAAGAGAATGCTCTTTGAAATATATCTGCAAACCAACGCTTCCATTGTTTCATGTCATGTTTAAGAAAGTGAGAATGTGAGAACAGTCATGGGATATTTATGACTAGTAGGACTTGAGAGGGTAACTGTCACTTTTATAATTTATAAATCAGAAATACAGACAAGGGCGGGGGATAATCATTCTGACAAATTGGTTCTGTTGGAATGTGTGAATAGTTTCATTTATAGCACTTTTTTTGGTCTGAGGATCATTTGTTTGATTTGAAAAGGCATATTGGCTTTGAGACAATATACATTATGAAAACTACACGGAAACACTTTTGGGTTTCTTCCTTTGGGAAGAAAATGGTCAATTTAGAAGCCAGCGGCACCTCTGCTCCAGTTGTGACAACCAAAACTGTCAGACAGGGCCATATGTCCCCTGATGGGGAGAGGGGAACCATAGTGGTTCTCTTGGCTCAGAACCACTCATTCATGACAACCAAGAGAATAATGAAGCGTCTGTCTTTATCTGGGGAAGAGGAAGTATAACAAATCTCCTGTTGCATTCAGTACAAGAGTCTCTAACAACAAAGCATAGGTTGAGGGGACACTGGAAAGCCAGGCTATCATCACTGGGGTTCTGGATATTCTGAAGCTGTGACAGGCCTGTATTCCCAGCATATCCACTCCAAACAGGTGCCCTTCAAAACGGGAGGAGTCCATTAAGCCTGATATCTCTATTTGTATATAGCTGACACCTCATCCTTGAATTCCACCCCATTTCTGAATTCTGCCCCAGAGGGGAGCCCAGGGATGAGGTGATGATAACTACCCTGAATTACTGGTTTAAAAAAAAAGCCAATAGTTTAATAGTTTGTTAAATGAGGTATCAAATGTCCCTGAATCAAAATAACTGCTACAGAATGTCACGAGTCAGCCAGAAAATACTAGAAAAATGCTTAAGCTTTAATTTAGAAGCCAGCATATTTGATATAATTTTAATTTTCGTTCACTCACAGAATTGGTTTCAGTTCTGGTGCTTACATCTTAGGCCATTTGCAAGGGGGTGAAAGAGCTGCCCAAATGTGATTTTCTCCCCGGGAGCAAGGGGCTGATGTCCACATTGGAATCTCAAAAAGGGGAAACATTCGATAACAACCCTTAGTAATAAATAGGTCACAGGGTAATCGAAGGCTGGTGCTTTTCACAAAACATTGTTTGTCATGTTTAGGGACACTCAGAGCATAAGCGGTTTATAAACACTGGGACTGAAAGTTTTCAAGCACTTTTTAGAAGGATATATAAAATTACGGACCCAAACAGGTCAACACTATCAACTATGTAACTTTCAGGATGCATTTGTGGGAATTTAAATTTTCTTGTGGGAAAATCCACCTAACGTTAGAAGAAAGAGCAAATATACCCTGGAGCAGTGTACTGTGATAAAGGAGGTGGAGGTGGACAAGCTCTTCCCTAATTCAGGTCCAAGGTTTCCTCAGAGAACTCTGACCTCGTGCGTTGGTCAACGCCCACATCATCAGTCCTCAGAGGCAGGGTGGAGGATGTGCAGTACCTGTAGCAGGTCACTCCCATCCTGGGCGTCATCTGAACAGCTCTTCCTGCTCTGCTGGCCAGGACTCAGGATGTTTATTTCCTCCTCCTGACATCTGTCTCTCCCACACTCTGACCTGAACCCCCAGGGCACCTGTGCTCCTCCAGCCTGGTGTATCCACGGCCTGCTGGGCCTGAGGTGTGTGCTGGGCCCCCAGGCCTGAACTCCCACTCCCCTGCTGCCCTGTCAGAGCTTACAGAAACAATCCTCTTAAATGGGTGTGGTCATTTAAACCATCTGGTCAGGAGCCCCCAGGTTCCTGTTCCTATCGGGATTTAGCAAGGGCTTGCAATCAGATTTTGAGTTGGAAAGCTATGGATGGACAGAGCTAGCTGCTCCACATCCCTGAATGAAAGTCATACCACTGGTTCCAAGGGTCTGACTCTGACAGCCTGGGGGTGATGTGGCTCAAGTGCTTAGCAGGGCCCTTCACTCAGAGCCGGGGCAGTAAGCAGAGCAGGGGGTGCCACTGAGACCAAGTCATTTGGACAGATTTGAAATCTGACTACAGATCCTCGGCCAGCAACAACACTGCTCCGGCATCACCCCGACTGTGCATCTGGATCACCACAAAGGTTTTTAAAAATATAGACAGATGCCTGAACCACCCCGGCCACCACCACTCACAGACACACCCATGCACACACACAGACACCGCGCCCCCCCCCCCCCCCCGCCATCTTCTGATGGAAAAGCTCCAGGCTTATGGCCCAGCCATCTGTATTTTGCAAATGGCCCAGACGGTTCTGAGACAGGGATTATCGCGCTGTCTGACAAAAGATGGAAATAAAACAGATGCCTCTATAGGGTAAAGTTACCACAACTTAAATATAGTTATTCCCTGTGAGGCAAAAAATACCCTCATTTCCCTGGGTATACATTGCAGATTCCTGGTTGTGCCTAAAACTCCGTTCATACCCAGTAGTTATTTCCCTAATGACTAGACAGGTGAGCACATGAATGTTCGCATCGAGCCGCCTTGGGCTTTACCTTTCAACTCTTCAGTCTTCTCTCGAAGCTGCAGCTCTGTTTGCTCTTTTTGTATTTCCAGTTCTGAATTATGCTTCTGAAGCTTTGCCAATTTCTAGCGAAGAGAAGAAAAAAAGCTTTTTTGAAAACCTCACTTCCAGTTTTGTCACCACAGCCTTTCTTGGTGAAAAGCTGTATTTTTATTTATTTATCCATCCATCTAGCTAGCTCAGCTCCTACCCGTAGAGAACAGCCAGCACCAGCCCAATGCAAGATGCTGTCTGTACTCCACTCACGTGCAAGAGCTCCATGTGACTTCAGGCACTGGCTCTCAACCTGACCCAGCAATGGCTGAAATCAAGGAAAAAGAGCCAAATCCAAGGTCTCCTCAAAGTCAAGAAAGCACCTCCATCCTCTTCTTGAAGCTTCTCGATAGCCAAGGTATTTATGTATTTAATATGATAGAAATAATTTATATATAAAGTGAATCCACACTTTGAGAGTGTTATTACGCAGTAAGGATGTGTGATCATGACAGGAACTCTATTATTTTAGCTTCTCCTGGTAAAATATCTGCTGGGCTGACAGCTGGGGCCACTTGGTGCTGAAGGTTGGTGACCGGCAGCGTGGGCAACGGCATCAGCTGGGCACTGGACCACGGGGAAGGTGCCCTGGGGCTCCAGGCTGCCACAAACCTGGACGCTGTAGAACTTGAGAAAGTAAGAGAATGGAGGGTAATAAATACTACCTCTTTAGAAAACAGTAGCTCACACTTGCGCAGGGCTCTATGGTAGGCACTTGGCTAAATTATTTCATCTGGCAATTGTTATCATTTCAACAACTCTGGCAGCCCCTTGTTGTTATTCCCATTTTACATATGAGGGAACTAAAGTTCAGAGAGGGTGTAAGGGACTTGCCCAAGGATGCTCAGCCAGATGGCAGCGAAGACAAGATTTGAACCTGGGACGTCCGACTTCTAGCTACTGCTTGTTTTATTGCACTACAGACACGAAAACCTGCTCCAAGCTTTTCATTGCTATTTTGGGGAAGGCATATGCCAGGACACATACCAGATGGGAAAGCGACAGGGACCGACATCATCCTGGAAGAGAGGGAAGCATCTAGCCAGGGCTCCTTCTCTTTAAAGGGGCTTTCATCACTTCATAATAGTTGAAAAAAAGAGGAAACTTTATGTTTTGCTTCTTGAAGTGGGAGCCTCCTCATCTTCCCCCAGACTCTAGGACTCTGATCTCCCTTCTCCTAAAAGCTAGGCATCCTTTGGTAGTGGAAGCCAACAGGAAATCTGATCTGCTCTGCAGAAATCTGCTTTGTTGGAAAATGCTGCACTGTGACCTTTTGCCGGGAAGACTCGCATATATTTCCATAATCGCACCCGGCACAGACCTCTTCCATGGCAGCCTTGTATTTCCTCCCCTTCTCCTCATAATTGTGCCTGTGGGTAGCTGCTCTGTCCAGTTCTGATTCCAGTTTCTGAATCTTCTCCATGTCACCGGCTCGAAGAGCAGCCAGGCTGGTCACTTTCTCCACCAGCCCATGGTTCTCTTTGTTCTAGAGGAAAAAAACAGGAGATGTTTAGGGGTTTATCCAAAATGAAGAAGCTGTTCCATTCGTTTCTCACAATCTCTGATGTGGCATCTAACTCCATGATATGTATCACTATGATGGCATGTGTGACCATCTTCACCCCAGTGAAAACAGCAAGGCCGATCTTCTCAGGTAAACTTCCTGAGCTGATGGTGCATTTAGTGTGGGACCAGCCCATTCCTGGAGCTCCAAGACAACCCTAATGCTGTAGGATGAATTGTGTCCCCTGCTGCCCACTCGCCCCCCAACTGTTCACACATTGCAGCCTAATACTCAGCACTTCAGAACGTGACTATATTTAGAGATAGGGTCTTTAAAGACAAAATTAAGGTAAAATGAGGTCATATGGGTGGGCCTGATTCTAGCATGACTGGTGTCCTTTTAGAAAGAGATTAGGACACAGACACACAGAGGGAAGCCGATGTGAAGACAAAGGGAGAAGGATGCTATCTGCAAGCCAAGGAGAGACAACTCAGCAGAAACCAACTATACCAATACCCTGACCTTGGACTTCTAGCCTCTGTGATGGCAGTCCTAGCAAACGAATACACCTAGAATGGAGTCCGGGCAGCATGGGGACTCGCAGGGGCCCTGCTCCTAGCTGTCACAGCAGCATTTTGCTGTTCTGCACGACCCATGTAACATGCAGGCCTGTCACCCCACAGCACAACGATGAAAGCCACATCAAAACCTCAAGCTGTTTACACATTCATCCCTTCACTAAGGACCCCTATAGCATCGTTTGTGGCTAAGTTTCAAGTTTACCTTAGGAGAATCTCGGGATTATTTGAGACGGGCAGATCAAGGGGTGAGTTTTATAGATCTGGGCACTGCATATTCCATAGTCCTTCTCCACTGGCTAAGAACATGGGGATTTTGTTTCCTACCAGTGAGAATGGTATGAGGAATCTCCCCAAACGAGGCAGGGCTGCAGTTAGACCATATAGACCTTTGAGCAAATTAGAAAGTGCCAACTCCCGTGAGCCAACACAGCCCTGAGGGAGCATGGCTTGGCATGCAAACAGCATCTTTGTGCAGATGAAAAAAAGGCACCCCTGCCTCGAGGCAGCACAGCTTTGTACCAGGACACATGGGTTGGCAAAATCAAAGTAAGGCTGGATTTCAGCTGCACTTGCACTGCTGGGCAGCGGCCCTTGTGCAGTGTACAACCTATACAACCACATGTAGCAGCCCTTTACAGTGTACTTCTGTTTTCTAGAGCAGGTGGTCCACATAAACTATTTGAACCTCCTAACACAGGCATAAATCTTAACAGCATTAGCTGAGGAATTGGCCCAGGATAAAAGAAATTTGTTAGAAAAAGTACGTATGAAAGATACATTTACAAACACCTACCTGATCTTCTAACTTTTTCTGCAAACGCTGGACCCTGTAAGTAAGCTGAATGTTGAGCACAAATCGTCGGATACTCTGGAATCTGCGCCTGGCCAGCCACGCCCGTGCATATTTCTGAAGGATCACAGCCTTATGCTCCTCCAGCATCTTTGAAACAAGATATTAGGAAACATAAGTTGGCTCTCCAGTGTTTCTCTCACAACTCCTCCAATGTTGAGTGATGCAACTACCAAAATATTTTCACAATGCAAAAGACAAATTTCCTGTAATCAACCCACAGAACCCTATTATACCTAGACCACTGAAACAATAACCAAACCCCACCTATAGCAGACATATGTGAACAGACACTCATATACCAGAACTCCCTGCTCTCTATGAAGGTCTTCACGCAGAAAAAAAGATCTCACTATGATTGGTGAAAAATAACCTGAGCCCTGGGAAATTCATGCCCTAAGAAAGCACGGGGTCTCAGCTGCACCTTCCGATACTTCCTCCTCGCCAAGAGTCCTCGGGTGTAGGCCTGGATGGTGATGGTGGCCACACGAATCAGCTGGTAGAGACTGCGGACAAGATATCCACGACAGTACTTCTGAATGATTATGGCTGCCCATGCTTCTTTTAAGGCTGTTGCGGTAACAGCTTTCCTTGGTTAAAAAGAATGCAGAGTATATCTGTTATCCACAGAGCACTGACTTCTACTGTAGAGCAACATGCTTGTATAGCATTTAAAAAATATATCTATTTTGAGAGAGAGCGAGGGAGAAAGCAGGGGGAGGGGCAGAGAGAGAGGGAGAGACAGAATCCTAAGCAGGCTCTGCACTATGCACAGAGCCCGATGTGGGGATTGAACTCACGTCATGAGCTCATGATCTGAGCCGAAATGAACAAACACTTAATCCACTGAGCTACCCATGTGCTCCAGCAGTTTGGTTTTTGGTTTTTTTACTGAAGAATATTCGAATGTCTTGCAAATCTACCCATTAAACTCTACAACTCATTTACTCTAACATCCACTGGAAATCAGTCTCATCACGTCTCCTTTTCACCCTGATCTGAGTGTGGACCTGCTCTAGCCAGAGGAACGACGTGGCAACTGTCACATTCTTCACATGCAGGTGGATCCATCCGTCATCACTCACATATGTGGAAACAAAACCGGGCTTTCGTACTGCTTATCCATCCTTGTGGGAAATCACGCTAGAGGCTCTAGATCAGGGCAAATTATAGCCTGGGGACCAACTCTGCAGCCTTCCACCTGCTGCTATTGCCAAGTGTTATGGCAATGCAACCACACCTATTATTTGTATATCATTCATGGCTAATAACAGCAGACTTGAATAGTTGAGAGAAACTGCAAGGACCCTAAAGCCTGAAGTAGTTGTGGCTTTAACAGAAAAAGTTTGTCAACTCCTGTCTAAAGGACTAGAAGTGAAGAACAAAGTTCTTACCTTCATAGTTTACAACCTCATGTAGCAGACAGACTTACAAATGGCCAAGTGGGACAAGAGGAAACATAAAATAACTACTAAAAGATCTGTAAAAGAGATAGTACAGAGATATCATTCTGCTTGTGAGTCTGCCCTTGATGGAGAGGTGGGATTTCTGTAGACAGTGAAGGTTGGAAAAGGCATTTCAGGCTAAGGATCAGTGAACACATGGAGGCCTAGCTATGCCTGAAATATTCAGAAAAAGAGAATCTCTCCGAAATTGCTAGAAAATAAGATACATGAAGAAAATTAGCCAGTGAGGTTAGAAAAATAGAAACCATTTGCTATTTAAGCTTATTTATTTATTTTGAGAGAGAGAATGAGCAGGAGAGGGGCAGAGAGTGAGAGAGAGACAGAGAACCCCAAGCAGGCTCCTTGCTGTCAGGACAGAGCCTGACATGGGGCTTGAACCCACAACTGTGAGATCATGACCTGACCGAAATCAAGAGTTGGATGCTTAACCAACTGAGCCACTGAGGCATCCCGTTATTTAAAAATATATTTACTGAATACCTACTCTGGTGTGCAAAAGTATGACCCTGGTTCTCCCAGAGCTTCCATTCTTATCAATGTATCTAGGCCATGGGGGGCCTTGAACACTCATGTCAGAGACTGAATGTAGGAAATAGGGGTCACAGGAGGCATTAAAGGCAAGAGGAGGACAGTGGCTCCATCAGGCCCTGCTTCAGGAAGACACACAGCAGGTAGAGGCTGTGTTGTAGGACCATAAAGCAAGTGGTGGTGAAGGTCAAATCTAGGGCCAGGGTGTGGGAATGGAATGATAGGACAGACACAAGAGGTAAGCAGGGGTAGAGCTGTCAGGCTTTGGTGATTCCTAAACAGAAAGGGAGCATGAGTTGGGGAAGAAGAGAACCCTGGGCTGTCCTGCACTGGAGACTGCTTCTATTGACTGACCCAGGGCAGGGGAGGGAAAGCCTGGCTGTGTATGTAAGATGGTCACCTGAGGTGGGATGGTGAGTCTAGTTTGGAGTGTGTCGAGGCCGTGGTGCTGAGGCCCTGGTGTGCCAATCACGTAAACAGGCCCAGATGCTGCTGGAGGTCAGGCCTCAAGCTCAGGAAGAGGTGAGGTTCAGTGACACGGTCTGACTCTTAAATACTTGCCTTCTCAACTATCCTCACAGCTTGCCAAGGAAGGAGGCAGCACAGACACAGGCAAGCACACACTGTTGTCTGGGAAGAATGCCATCTCACAGGCCAGCCCGGCACAGCCTCGTGGGAGCACTCAGTGAGGGCTGGGATTGGTGGACCTGCCCTCCACTCAGCCATCCCTTGGGAGAGGGCTCTGGGTTTGCTGGCAGAGCCTTGCCATGGATCCCCTAAGGCACGGCCTGCCCCCTCCCCATCTGCAGGGAGGCTGGTCAGTGGTTACTCATGGCATTTACTTAGGGACTTCCCTAGGGCCCTGTCTTACGCATTTTCAATTCCCACAGAAAAAGGGCCCAGTCCCTCTTCCTGGTCTCACTGGGGATTCCGATTCGCTTCAGCAAAACCCTGATTGAAGCTTCCTCTCTTCAGGGTCCTAGTTGTCACCGCTGCCATGGGAACAGTAGGCGGAGTCAGGACTACTTGCCCTAAGGTAGGTAGACTCACGGCTGGCCCCAGGAGGACACCCACACACATCTGCACCCTCCAGGAGAAAGGCCATTTGTCCTTGACAGGTCCCTCCCCCAGCGATGAGCAGTTAGGAGAGTGGGCCACACAATTCCACACCTCTTCCTTGGCTCTGGCCATACCTCACAGTTTGCTGACCCCGGAAGTACTGCTGGATTGTCAGGACAGCTTGTCTTTCTCGGAGAAACTTTTTTCTCTGGAGCCAGCCACGGATGTGCTTTTGTATCACAACACAACTCTGCCTGAGCTTATCCAATCGGAGTTTCTCTAAATAAGCCACTTGTCCTGCTCTGAAGAAAATTTTGGTTTTACCAAACTGGTACTGATTAGAATCCTGGAAGAGAAAAATGATAGAATCACAAATAAATCCTTCAGAGTTTATAGTATTTGGAAAAGATGTTTAAGAGATTCCAAGGTGCCAAAATATTGTTATTTTTGACACACCTGTTCCTTGACATAAAGCAAAAAGATTCTTTTTGTTAAAAAAGTTTTTTAACATATATTTATTTTTGAGAGAGAGAGAAAGAGAGAGAGAGGTGGGAGGAGGGGCAGAGAGAGGAGACACAGAATCCGAAGCAGGTTCCAGGCTCTGAGCTGTCAGCACAGAGCCCAACATGGGGCTCGAACTTGTGAACTGTGAGATCATGACCTGAGCCAAAGTTGGATGCTCAACTGACTGAGCCACCCAGGTGCCCCAAGGCAGAAAACTTCTGATTATGACCTAGAAATTTATACTGTGACTTGTTTAAAGCCACTGGGTGAAGAAACGAACTTGAGGTTCAGGGGTCTGCGTCTGTCTGTGGGGTAGGAGGGCTGTGTGCATGCTTGGTGATTCTTAGGCCATTGGGGAGCTTCGGCTTCTCATATGTGGTTTCTACAATAGAGCAGAGCCTGGAAAGGTCTGGTTTCTGTCTTTATTTTGGCTTGTCTTCACCACCTCCTTTCCTGGCCATAGTAACTCTGTCCCCACTTCTTTTCTATCAAACTCACTGCCAGAGCAATGACCTAAGTCCACACGGACTGCCATGTTTGGGAACCTCCTGGTGTAGTGGCAGGCTCAGTTGACTGTGTAATATGAGCCAGGCCCATCGAAGTTCCTTAAATTGTGGGAGGTCAGAGTATGATAGGAGGACTCTGGGGGAGGTCAGGGTTCAAGCCTGGTTCAAGTCTGTAATGGTGACTCCTACTTTCAGGAGATGATGCCCCTGTGAGTGTGCCTGCTCTGATCTCCTTAGCACTCAAATGCTTGGGCATATTTTCTTTCATGACAACACAGTCATGGGACAGGTGGGTAGGGAAACACATTTAGGAGATGGGCATCTGGGTAAGAGCCCATGATTCCAGGAGCTGAGCAAGACTGACCTGGATGAGCCTGTGTAAAACCACCTTGCACACCTCCTTTTTATCACTGAACGAAAGCTCCTGCTTGGTCATGAGCACACCATAGCGACTGTAGAACTCAATGTATGTCCACCTGCAAAGTCAAAGAAGATCTGAGGAGGTGTGGCTGTGAGGAAACATGGCATGTCTGTGGATCCCACTGCTGCTGGGGTGGCAGTGGGGGTAGATGGGAGTCTGTTCTGAACTTTGACCTTTGACCTCACCCTGAACACAGCGGACCAGGAGTGTTTTTTTTTGCCAATACTCTACTCTGATGATTATGCTCTCCTCCCCCTCCATCTCCTCCTCTCAGGAGCAATGGGGAGGCAGGAGGTGATGTTCACTAGCAGTGAAATCAGGTGATGGGATGATGGTGGCCCCTGACCAGTACATGGCCGCCAGGGGCCCCCTCTGGCCTTCCCAGGGAAGAGTGGGAATATCTTGGGGCATCTTATGCAAGTACCTGACAAAAAACATGGCAGCCTCTCCCTCGGTTCTCAGCAGACCTGAAGGTTGGCATTTTCCCCCCAAAACAAGGAGAGAGAACCCACCTGGAAGGGTAGCTCTGGGCACTAATGCGAATTGTTTCTAAAACACCGCAGGCTCGCAGCTGCTGAACAATCCTTTTAGAGTCGAATCTTAAAGAAGAAGATTTCAATATGTGTTAAGCTGTCATGATGGACAAATATGCCCATGAGCAGTTCAGCAGACCTGCCTGGACTGTGAGCCCTGAGGAGCGGGGTCTGCCTCTGTGATCCCCACGCAGGGCACCCAGCAGCTACTTAATGGACACCTGCCAGAGGACAAATGAAAACAGCAACTCTGTGAGAGTTCAGGAAGCTGTACTGAGGTCACAGAGAAAGGAGTGCTGGATTATGATGGTGGAAATGGAAAAGGTCTCATGGGGGAAGTGGCCTTTGGTTCAGCTTCGAATGACAACCAGTGTGGAAGAAATATTTCCACTCACCGCATTCAAATGCCCATTTGCTGTTTGAATTCCCTTTACAGGGTACCCTCTGGCTGAGGTTGGACCCTTTGGTGGCCCACGGACACATACACCACCTCCATGGACAGTGCATGCCCCTCAGACACATCTTAGGTCTAGTCAGTTGAAAGAGACTCTACAATGTTCACTCCTAGGTCTGGGGTTTTCCTGGGGGGGCCCCAGAGAACAAGTCTAATATCTCATGCCATATTTGAGGCAGAAACCTCTGTTCCTCTACAGAATTTCTTTCAAAAAACAAATTCTTTTCTTTCTTATTGAGGTATAACTGACATGCAGCATTCTAGTAGTGTCAGGTGCACAGCATAATGACTCGGCATTTGTAATATATTGTGAAACAATCAAAAGAAGTCTAGATCACATTCATCATGGCACATAGTTACAGCAGTTTTTTTTTCTTGTGACAAGGACTCTTAAGATCTATTCTCTTAGCAACTTTCAAACATGCAGCACAATATTATTAACTGTAGTCACCATGCCATATACAAATTCTTCTTGTAATCAAGGAGACATTCTGGCTTTCTCTGCTGCATCAACTTCAGTTGTAGACTATTCTTTCAAATCTATCCCCTTTGCTTCACCCTGGAGACAAGGTGGTTTAGCCATAACAGAGAGCTTGTGCTAGTTAACAGTATATGTAAAGGATGGGACTGCTCTGAATCATTAAAAAAACAGCAACAGGCTCTCTGCTCCTCCTCATTCAAAAGACAGCAGCATCTTCTGCTGAACTTCCAGCTGTGTCCCTGAGACACGATGGTGAAGGTTGGAGTAAATGGATTTGGCAGTATTGGACACCTGGTCACCAGGGCTGCTTTTAACCCTGGCAAAGTGGATATGGTTGTCATCAATGACCTCTTCACTGACCTCAACTACATGGTCTACATGTTCCAGTATGATTCCACCCACAGCAAATTTCACGGCACAGTCAAGGCTGAGAATGGGAAAGTTGTCATCAATGGAAAGCCCATCTCCATCTTGTAGTAGCAAGATTCCACCAAAGTCAAATGGGGCAATGCTGGTGCTGAGTATGTTGTGGAATCCATTGGGGTCTTCATTACTATGGAGAAGACTGGGGCTCACGTGAAGGGTGGGGCCAAGAGGGTCATCATTTCTGCCCCTCCTGCTGATGCCCATGTTTGTGATGGGCATGAACCACAAAAAGTATGACAACTCCCTCAAGATTGTCAGCAATGCCTCCTGCACCCCAACTGCTTGGCCCCTCTGGCCAAGGTTATCCATGACAACTTTGGCATCATGGAGGGACTCATGACCACAGTCCATGACACCCAGAAGATGGTGGATGTCCCCTTCGGGAAGCTGTGGCATGATCACCAAGGGGCTGCCCAGAATATCATTTCTGCTTCTACTGGTGCTGCCAAAGCCGTGGGCAAGGTCATCCCTGAGCTGAGTGGGCAGCTCACTGGCACAGCCTTCCATGCTCCAACTCCATTGTGTCTGTTGTGGATATGACCTGCTGCCTGGAGAAAGGTGCCAAATATGCTGACACCAAAAACGTGGTGAAACAGGCATCAGAGGGCCCCCTCAAGGGCATCCTGGACTTCATTGACGACCAGGTTGTCTCTGCAACTTTAACAGTTACACCCACCCATTCACCTTTGATGCTGGGGTTGACATTGTTCTCAATGACCACTTTGTCAAGCTCATTTTCTGATATGACAATGAATTTGGCTATAGCAATTGGATGGAAGACCTTATGGTGCACGTCACTTCCAAGGAGTAAGAGCCCTCTGGATCGCCAGCCCCAGAAAATGCAGAAAGAAGAGAAAGACCTTCAGCTGGTGGGGGTCCTTGCCTCAACTCATCCCCAAACACACTAAGAATCTCCCAACCTACACAGTTTCCATCCCAGAGCCCCCAGAGGAAGGGAGGGGCTTGGGAAGCCCTACCTTATCATGTCCCATCACTAAAGTATACTGTACTTAGCCAAAAAACAAAACAAAACAAAACAAAAAACCAGAAATAGTAAAGTTCAAGAGAATTATAAGCAAATTCTCCAACATTGTGACAGAAATGGCCTCAGTGTTTTCCCTCTCCTGCATAGAAGCACTTACTCGAAGGGTAATTTTTCATCATTTGGCTTGATGCATCGGACATAGTGGGGTGTGGTTGCATTGAGGGTTTCCATGAGCAAGTACAGAGAGCTGCGGAACTAGGAAACAAGGTCAGAGAACAAATATGCTGAAATTTGATACTCATATCAAGGAAAACAAAAGGGCCAACCTTAGTAAATTAAGAAGAAGAGTTAGCTTCATGCATTAACATCTATTATGAAAGGTTTTAATCTGTGACTGTGAGTATTAGCATGTCCTATGTTCTGGACAGAATTCTGCTCTAACCAATTCTCCCAAATAGCAAGAACTTAGTAAATCATGTTATTGGGCACGTGGTTTTCTCAGGCCTGTGCGGTCTTGGAGGCTGAGGGATGATGACAATGAGCTGCGACTTTTCTTTGCATTTACGTATATACTAGATGTGAACCAGGTCAGTGCCCATGTCCAGGCCTGGAATGTGGGCCCCACCACTGCCTGGCTCCCTGTGGGGCCTGGCCCCATCCTCAGGTACTTTCTGTGTACCTTGCTCCCCACTGTGGTCCGGAACTGCTTGTTGTTTGGCTTGATGACTGGCTTTGCAGATTTAACTGTGATTGCTGAACCGAAAGGGGAAGGAGGAACTGGATTTTCTTGAAAAAAGCTGGCACAGAGATGAAACTGGAAGGAACAAAGGGGATTTCAATGTCCAAAGGTGTTCACTCATAGTCAGCAGGTGATACAAACCTCATAAATGGTCATAAGAACCCCATGTAAAATGAGGTTAGCGGTCTCCACCAATCTCTACAGCCTAATCTGAATCCCACAAGAGGACACTCCTCCCCCTGGATGATGCATAACTTCTTTCCAGGAATCTAAGCAGAGAGGCAAATCTGTGCAAATGTCTATATGTCATATTTATATTCCATATATATATTAGATATATATTAAATGTCTGTATGGACATTTACACAGTGGAGACATTTACTAGCCCTACCTCTGTGCCTTGGCTCATGCTGTTTCAACACCTGGACTCTCCTCCTTCCTACCTCATATTCTCATCCCTGTAAATCCAAACTCTACCCATTACTCAAGGTTCTATGAAAATATTTTCTAGCTCTACCCCATTCACTTGCTTCGATTAAGTTTAAAACAAAGGTAAAAAAAAATTGTGCCCTGACTCAAATTAATTTCAATTTCTTCTACATAAAAAAAATCTTTCACTTATGAGTGTCTTCTAAGATATTCATTACTTTCTACCATGCATCAATGATTTCTTTAAATGTCTTATCTTCTTAGAGCAAAACTCATTTTTTTTTTTCTTTTAAATCAAACACTGACAATCTCCTTTGGGGGAGAATCACTGCCTAATATATCCTTGTATGCTCCAGCTGCAAAACCCGTGGATCTGTACTTCCCACGCCTCTGAGAGCTTTCGTGCTCAGCAGAGAGACCCATCTGTGCTTTGATGTGATCTGCATTCACCTTCCAGACCGGACCCCAGGGTATGCTTGGGGATGAGTAAGCAATTGGTGAATTAAATGAACTAATTTTGTACACAAGATGCAGGCCATTTCCATATTGAATTCTCTATCATAAATCGGTTTTAATAACTGAAGTTGTCATGCCTGCGACTTCTATATGATTGTTAGTGGAAGTGCTCATGCTTATGTGGGAAACTGTCAAAATACTTGAATATGAACAAAGGCTTAGGGATCTTTCAAAAGAAGAAAAATAAATACGATCTAAACTGTTCACAAAATGAAGGCTTGTGTATGGAATATTCTTATTCTCAACTATTAATAAGGAAATGTTCAAAGGGGAAAAGGAAAACCCAGAAGTCATTCCTTTGGTGACCCTACTCCTCACATAGAACTGTGGATTTGAGGAGCCTGCACATCTGAGCCAGCACTCCCTTCCCAGGTCACCCTCTCTCTGTCTTGCCCTGGTTTCTTTCATGTGCTTAGCACTACGTGCCATTGCTACTTATGTGGTTAGGGTATGTCATTCCCTCTAGAATAGTGAGCTTCATGAGGGCATGCATCCTGGCTGCCTTGCTCACTGCTATAACCAGAATCTAGGGCCAGTGCTTGGCACATGGTAGGTGCTATATACATATTTGTGAAAGAATGAATAAAATGTAAACTGTGGTCTTTTAACTGGTTATAGTAGCTATCCTTCCTCTCTGGCATCTGCATATTTGATTTCTGATATTGCACCTAGTGGAGATTTGTCTGCAAGCTGTCAGAAGCTTGGTACATGTTTTAGTCCCAATTCCAAAATAGTTATTTTTTCTAAGCATGAGCTACAGTTTGCCACTGCAAGACAGTACACATAACCACACACTTCTTACTCTTTCCTGATACACATATAGATCCATTTCAAGTTATATAATGAATAACATTAATTACCATCGTAGGACCTTACAAACCTTGCTTGCTCTCAAGATTTCAACCAGCATATCATATACGGTATCTCTGTTCTTCTCAAGAAAACCTTCACATTTATATTCTACCTGTGCAGAGAAAGGATTTAATTATTGCCAAAGAAGCAAAAGCAGACAGCATCTAAGACCAAGGAGTTTTTCTCTTTTTCTAAGAATGAATAATGAAGGCACTAAAAAAGCAATCTTCTAAAAACAGATTCTGTTTCTGTTTATCACAGGAACTCTATCATATAAAACTTCGGAAGCTGGGAATATGTCACTTGCTGGAAAGAGCCAGGCTCTCTCACTGCCTTGATTTCTAACTTGTCACTGATCATTCTGTATTCTTCTACCAGCTCCCTCTAGCCACAGGAGACCAGTCATTCCCTGCAATGTCTGAAGTTAATACACACACAGGTCTAAGAAGACCAGGCTTAAGGTTCACTCTGCCTTAGGAGGAAAAAAAAAGCCATCAGGAGGAAAAAAGCTCAGTGTTGTCCTTTGGGTTCAAACCAAAATACTATCCTAAATCAGCATGAATATGGTAGAAAGTAAGATTTGTCTGACCACAAAACTTTCAAAGGCCACCAAAGCCCTTGGGGTCAGGTTAGAGTGGGTAAATGTTCACATTGCCTGAATTTGGCTTAGAAAAAGTCTCCACACGGCCCTTCCTGATCCTTAAGGCTTCCTGAATCTCTCAAACAATAACATATCCAGGGTGGGTCCTTAAAAATTCAAACTCCAATAGTTTATGCCTCTAGTTTACATAGTTTATAATGTAATATCTACTTGTCATAAATTTTCATAAATTAGAAAATATGTTTAAAAATCAACATATGGAAATCTGTGGGATTTCTGTACACCAAAATGAAGCAGCAGAAAGAGAAATCAAGGAATCAATCCCATTTACAATTGCACCAAAACCCATAAAATACCTAGGAATAAACCTAACCAAGAGGTAAAACATCTATATGCTGAAAACTATAGAAAGCTTATGAAAGAAACTGAAGAAGACACAAAAAAATGGAAAAACATTCCATGCTCATGGATTGGAATAACAAGTATCGTTAAAATGTCGATACTACCCAAAGCAGTCTACATATTCAATGCAATCCCTATCAAAATAACACCAGCATTCTTCACAGAACAAACAATCCTAAAATTTGTATGGAACCAGAAAAGACATTGAATAGCCAAAGCTGGAGGCATCATAATTCTTGACTTCAAGCTGTATTACAAAGCTGTAATCATCGAGACAGTATGGTACTGGCACAAAAACAGGCACATAGATCAGTGGAACAGAGTAGAGAACCCAGAAATGGACCCACAAACATACGGCCAAGTATTCTTTGACAAAGCAGGAAGGAATATCCAATGGAAAAAAGACAGTCTCTTCAGCAAATGGTGCTAGGAAAACTGGACAGCGACATGTAGAAGAGTGAACATGGACCACTTTCTTACACCACACACAAAAATAATCTCAAAATGGATGAAAGACCTAAATATAAGACAGGAAACCATCAAAATCCTTAAGGAGAAAGCAGGCAACAACCTCTTTGACCTCAGACACAGCAACTTCTTACTAGACATGTCTCCCAAGGCAAGGGAAACAAAAGAAAAAATGAATTACTGGGACCTCACAAGATAAAAAGCTTCTGCACGGCGAAGGAAGCAATCAACAAAACTAAAAGGCAACCAGTGGAATGGGAGAAGACATTTTCAAATGACATATCGGATAAAGGGTTAGTATTCAAAATCTATAAAGAACTTATCAAACTCAACACCCAAAGAACAAATAATCTAGTGAAGAAATGGGCAAAAGACATGAATAGACACTTTTCCCAAGAAGACATCCAGATGGCTAGCAGACATATGAAAAGATGTTCAACATCACTCATCATCAGGGAAATACAAATCAAAACCACAATGAGATACCCCCTTACACCTGTCAGAGTGACTAAAATTAACAATTCAGGAAACACTATATATAGAGAAAGGGGAACCCTTTTGCACTGCTGGTGGGAATGCAAACTGGTACAGCTATTCTGGAAAACAGTATGGAGGTTCCTCAAAAAATTAAAAACAGAAGTACCTTACAACCCAGCAACTGCACTACTAGGTATTTATCCAAAGGATATAAAAATGCTGATTGAAAGGGGGCACATACACCCCAATGTTTATAGCAGTGTTAATGACAATAGTGAAAGTATGGAAAGAGCCTAAATGACCATCGATAGATGAATGTCTAAAGACGTGGTATGTATGCATATATATATACATAAACACTATAATATTACTCAGTGATCAAAAAGAATGAAATCTTAACCATTTGCAACAACATGGATGGAACTAGAGCGTATTATGCTAAGTGAAATATGTCAGCGAAAGATAAATATCATGTGACTTCACTCATATGTGGAATTTAAGAAATATGCTGTAAGTGGGATGTTGAAGTCCCCTACTATTATGGTATTATTATCAATGAGTTTCTTTATGTTTGTGATCAACTGGTTTATATATTTAGGTGCATCATGTTGGGGGCATAAATGTTTATAATTGTTACATCTTCTTGGTGGATAGACCCCTTAATTATGATATAATGCCCTTCTTCATCTCTTGTTACAGTCTTTATTTTAAAATGTAGATTGTGTGATATAAGTATGGCTACTCTGGCTTTCTTTTGGTGACTATTAGCATGATAGATCGTTCTCCATTCCCTTACTTTCAATCTGAAGGTATCTTTAGGTCTAAAATGGGTCTTGTTTAGGTCTAGATGGATCTTGTTTTCTTATCCATTCTATTTATGCTATGTTTTTTGATTGGAGAGTTTAACCCATTGACATTTAGAGTGAGTACTGAAAGATATGAATTTATTGCCATCGTGCTGCCTGTAGAGTTGGAGTTTCTGGTGGTGTTCTCTGGTCCTTTCTAGTTTTTGTTGTTTTTTTGGTTTTGTTTTGTCTTTTATCCCTTCAGAGAGTCCCCCTTAAAATTTCTTGCAGGCCAGGTTTAGTGGTCACAGACTCCTTTAGTTTTAGTTTGTCTGGGAAACTCTTTATCTCTCCTTCTATTTTGAATGACAGTCTTGCTGGATATATAATTCTTGGCTGCATATTTTTCTGATTCAGCACACTGAATATATCCTGCCACTTCTTTCTGGCCTGCCAAGTTTTTGTGGATAGGTCTGCTGTGAACCTCATCTGTCTTCCCTTATAGGCTAAGGACTTTTTTCCCTTGCTGCTTTCATAATTCTTTCCTTGTCAGTGTATTTTGTGAATTTGACTATATTATGCCTTGTTAATGGTTGGTTTTTGTTGAATTTAGTGGGAGCTCTTTGTGCTTCCTGGATTTTGATGTCTGTGTCTTTCTCCAGGTTAGGAAAGTTTTCCGCTATGATTTGCTCAGATAAACCTTCTACCCCTTTTTTCTCTCTCTTCATCTTCTGGGACTCCTATGATTCGGATGTTTTTCTTTTTTAATGAGTCACTGAGTTCTCTAATTTTTTTTAAATGTTTTTATTTTTGAGAGAGACAGAGTGTGAGCTGGGGAGGGGGCAGAGAGAGAGGGAAACGCAGAATCTGAAGTGGACTCCAGGTTCTGAGCTGTCAGCACAGAGCCCAATGCGAGGCTTGAACTCGTGAACTGCAAGATCATGACCTGAGCTGAAGTCAGACGCTTAACTGAGCCACTCAGGCAACCCCCTAGCTGTAATTTCTTCCTGCTCTTTCTTTTGGGGTGAATTGCTTCGTTTTGTCACTTTGGAAGATGAAAAAGAGTTAATAAAATAAAAAATTAAAATTAAAAAAATTAAAAACAACACAAAAAATCAAATAAAGGAATCTAGATCCTAGGTGTATTTGGGTCTGGTTATTGAAAGAAGTTGGATAGACTAGAGAGAAAAGGGAAAGAAAAAGAAGAGAAAAAAAGGATGAAAGTAAGAAAATGTTTAAAAAATTTTAAAAAGTCCCAATAAAACAGAATAAAATGAAATGAAGAAAATAAAATAGAATTTAAAATTTTACAAAAAAATAAAAAATATAGTAAAAAAGTTTTTAAATATTTTTTTAAAAACCAGAAAAGAAATTTTTTCTCTTTCTGTATCCAAGAATAAGAAAAGAAAGAAAAAAACTCAAATAGATGGACCAGCAAACATAATGAAATCACATCCAGTTTCCTCTAGAAGTCAAACTCTGAAGCATTTTATAGTGTGTACACTAAACAGGCAGAGAGACTTGAGGTCATCCTCTAGGGATTGGTTGGTGCAGTTGGATGGAGCTTGATGTAAGCTCCGTTCTCTACTAGGTGGCACTGCTTAGTTTATCGGGGTGGATTGGTGTGGCACAGAGCACTTGTATGCAGATGCATGAGAGAGGTGAAAATGGCGTCACCCAGCTTCCCAGTCTCTGGCACCAGAACTCTGAGCTCTCACTGACCAGCAATCAAGCACCCCTCCTTTGTCTCTGGCTTCTGTCCACTCCCCACTTCTACACTGTCTGTGTCCAAGCTGTCAGCCTGCCAGATGGCACTTCCCTCATGAATTATATCTCAATGGGGCTGTGTTACCAAACCCCTCACTTCTAAGAGCCCTGTGGCTTCGACTTGCTCCAACCCTCTGGGGAAGGGTCTTGCTGGGCAATGACCAGGTGCTGGCTTGCCCCCCAGGAATGTTCATGCGGTCATGCTGTTGCACAGTTTCAGAGATTGTGGCCAGGTGTCTGCCTGCCCCAGAAAAAGTTCATGGGATAGCACAGCAGCTGAGGTTCAGAGATTATGGCAAAACACAACACACAACCAATGCCAGGTTTCACCTCACTCTGGTGTCTTTGTTCCAATACCAGCAAACATGGCTGTTCTCTGGGGTCTGCTGGGACCTTTGCCTGTGGGGACACTACAGCCTCTACCAAATGCCCTCCTAGCAGGGGAACACCTTCTCCCTGTGTGGTCCACGGAGCCCTTGGACCTCCCTGTCTGCTTCTGGGGATTTGCCCTTCCCCTCAGAGCACCACCACATATTGACTCTGCTCTACCTTGTTTCCAGAGTACTAATGGTATTGAAACGCTCTCCTTTCCCTTTCTCCCTTTCTGGTTCAGTCACTTGTGCGTGTTTCCACTCTTTTTCTTTCTCTCCAGCTACTTTCGGGGGAGTGCTTTTCCTGGACTCTCCCCCATTTTCTCAGTCCTCTCTCTGCAAAAACAGCTCCCTACCCTCCACGGCTTCTCTCTTCCCAACTGAATTCTCCGTGCTGTGTACCCGCCAAGTTCTGTGGCTCAAGTTATACAGATTGTTGGGTTAATCCTCACATCAATTTTCTAGGTGTACAAAATGGTTTGGTGCTGATCTAGCAGCATTTCAGTGACGAGAGAAGCCAAGAGCTTCCATGCTGCTCTGCCATCTTGGCCCCTCTCCCACTATATCAATTTTGTCTTTTTATTAAGGTACATTTGTTTCGGGGCGCCTGGGTGGTGCAGTCGGTTAAGCGTCCGACTTCAGCCAGGTCATGAGTTCGTGAGTTCGTGAGTTCGAGCCCCGCGTCGGGCTCTGGGCGGCTCAGAGCCTGGAGCCTGTTTCCGATTCTGTGTCTCCCTCCCTCTCTGCCCCTCCCCCATTCATGCTCTGTCTCTCTCTGTCCCAAAAATAAATAAACGTTGAAAAAAAATTTAAATTAAAAAAAAGGTACATTTGTTTCATAAAACATAGATCTATAAAGAAGAAAATAAAGACCACCCAGAAAACACAACATCTTCAGCCAACCTATGTTACCACTGTAATAAATATAACTGAATAACAAAGGAAAACCTCAAAAAAATATATAGCTTTCATTATAGGAAACAATTATGCTGCCTTGATTTTGACAACTTTATAGAGGAAATAAACTGATAAGAGACTAATGAATTCACAGTAAATCCAAAATCAGAAATGAGGTCCACTAGCACCACATTCATGTTTAAGGCAGTACCGATGAAACTCATATTTTGCGATAAAAACAAATAAAGACTGTTAAACACACACGCATGTATTCTTCATCACAGCTATATGCCGTGTGACTTGAATCTGATCAGAAAAGTTTCTGGCCTGCCTGCTGCCACCAGGGAACAGCTCCAGCACAGACAGCATTGCTCCAGACTTTCATTGTACCTTATCAGCAAAGTGCTGGATGATAAAGGATGTATTTGACATTCTGGGCTTTTCAAACAAAGCGTTCTTGTTGACAAAATTATTGTATAGCTTTTGAAGCCAGTTTTCATCAGTTCCATGTGGTAACTGCAAGACAAAAGCAAACCAAATAGTAAGTAAGACAACTGGAGATGAAAGGTTAAGAAGCACAAAAAAGCACTAATACTGACAAATCAAGTGAGCTGGAACCCCAGAGTGAGATGCTTAGATCTGCACCTGATTTTTATTATTTTTATTATTTTTAATGTTTATTTATTTATTTGGGGGAGAGAGACAGACAGTGTGTGTGTGTGTGTGTGTGTGTGTGTGTGTGTAGGGATGGGCAAAGAGAGAGAGGAAGATACAGAATCCAAAGCTGGTTCCAGGCTCTGAGCTGTCAGCACAGAGCCTGATGCGGGGCTCAAACTCACCAACTGTGAGACCATGACCTGAGTCAAAATCAGATACTTAACCGACTGAGCCACCCAGGTGCCCCTCCTTTTTTTTTATTTTTTAAAATTATTTTATTATTTATTTATTTTTTATTTTATTTATTTTTTAAATGCTTATTTATTTACTTTGAGTGAGAGAGACAGAGAGGGAAGGAGAACATGAGTGGGGGAGGGGAAGAGAGAGGAGAGAGAGAATCCCAAGCAGGCCCCACACTGTCAGCAGAGCCAGATGTGGGGCACGATGCCATGAACCATGAGAGGAACATGAGCCGAAATCAAGAGTCAGACGCCTGACTGAGCCACCCCAGGTGCCCCTATGGTTCTTTTTTATAAAGCAACTCTAGGCATACATCTGTCCTTGATCTTAACAATCTTTAGGGTGCCATTTAAACAGATATATCCATGTCCCTTTAGACAAATAAAATGTTATAAACTAGAAGGAAATGGACCTATAATGACTCAAGAATGAAGAAATTTATTTTTGCAAATTTGGCAGTATTCCTATTACTTCTTCTCAGAGAAGTCTAAAGGTTCAGGGGACAAATAGCATGGGTTCCATTACATGAATGTGACTTTTATTCTCCATTGAATGGGGAAAGACTGGCACCTAAATATAGTCCTCCCCACTTTGCCCAATCTCAGAAAAATAGATTTTCTTTTTGTTTTACTGCTTAACTAATAACTACCTACTGAAACAAAGCTTAGTTGCAAAACTTGTTCTTGATGCTGGTGATTTGCAAGTGATCAATTATATTCAATCCAAACTTAGTGAAGTTAATATCCCATTGTGCCCAAACGACTCCTGCATGCTTCTTCGTGACATTGGTCACCTAGGGAATGTCTGTGTAGAGTAGGTACAAGTATTTCCTGGAGGCTACCTTGGCCTATGCACCCTACCCTCATTAGATCATTCCGGAATGCTTTGACCTGATGCCAGCCCTTTAATCTTCTGTCACTGTGGTACCAGATAGGATAATTCATGAGTAAAACCATGGAATCAACAATTCTGGGGAGAAAATGCCAGTAACTCTTCAACAGTATGTTTTTTTTATTTGGTAGAAATAAATCTCTGGAGAGGAAACTAAATCTATGTTTAAGCATCATAATACAATCTTTAAACCAAAAACAAAATACGGCCCTGGGGATTATTTGTCCCTGAGGTCCCATGAGGAACATTGCTAGGCTGCCCCACTGTTAAGTTGCTCCTCCCAGAAGGACATAACAACAGTAGAATGCTTCTTTCAAATTATATGATGTTGATTTTTCAGCTACACCTCCAAATGGATGACTCACAAGAATGAGGAAACAAAAGAAAACTCAATTCTTGTTAGTCATTAACAAGTGGCATGAAGTCACCTGCCATTTTCCGGTCCATTCTACATACCCCTAGGTGCTCAAAGGGCTCCCCCTTGCTGGACATGGCCTGAGAGGTTGTGCGTGTTACCCAATGGTGGGCTACACATGCTGACGGCGAGGCTCACCCGGCCCTCTGCTGTTCCTGCTACAGACTCCTGTCCCAGCATTAATACTCAACCAAATGGGTAACACATCTGAAATTTAAATGTACATTTAAAAATCCATTTTGGGGGCACCTGGGTGGCGCAGTCGGTTGAGCGTCCGACTTCAGCCAGGTCGCGATCTCGCGGTCCGTGAGTTCGAGCCCCGGGTCGGGCTCTGAGCCATCAGCCCAGAGCCCGGAAACAGATTATAAAAAAATCAACCATTTTGTAATATTCTCATTTGTTACCACTTGGAAGTTGAAAAAAAAATTTAAGTTACCAAGCATTCTTCATCCAGTAGCTCCAAAATGCCCATTTTTGCTTCAATCAAGTCAATAACTGGTTGGTTGTCATAAAAATCTATCAGAGTCCAAGGGATATCTTCCTTCATATATTCTTCTTGTTCAAGTTTAAAGACATGCTGGAAATCCAGAAGTTAATAGAGAAAATAAAACAAAACATTAAAGTGTGCTTCCAAAGTCTAGGACATAAGCATCTGGAAAATACAGACACCCGACTGGTTTGCAGTGTTTAAGGAAGACCCTGAGGTACAGGCAGCCCTCCTTATCCATGACCAATGTTGTCAAGTTCCTAACGTGAGTCTAGCTGTCATCCTCCCACCTGGTCTGAGTGGAACCCCACATGCTGTTTACCCAACACCCAGCATACTCAGGGTGGTCCTGCAACCCCTCCCTGCTCATAGCATTGCTGGTATCCAAGAAAGAGGCAGCCTCTCTGGCCGGTGGGAACCAGCCTGCTCGCAAATGCTGGCTGTGGGAGCAGTGTGAGAAGCCAACAGCATGGAGAGCTTTGTTCACTCCTTGTTCAGGCCTTGTTCAGGTATCAGGGAGGCTTCCCAGAGGACAGGCTCAGGCTCATCCTGGCTACAGGTGGGGGGAGTGGAGGGGCAGTGAGGAGAAGAAGCCCAATAGGAAGCTGAGAAACAAATGACTCTCAAACAGATCAGAGAGAGCACAGTAGTGAGGGGACCAAGGGGAATGCAAAGAATGGTGGGGTGACTTCAAGTGAGCTACATAGCATATCTACCTGGAATAAACCTTACTTGTAGTTATTAAATGTTAAACTTCCAGGGAATCCTTGAGAAAATACAAATTTGCAAGGGGATGAAATTCAACAGTATACATGGATTTATTCCAAAGTGAGGAAATGGAAAGAAAAGAAACATTTAATAAGTATGAGTCAGTGTTAGGTCTTCTCCTTACAACATTACACAGGCAGAGACTACTGACCCAGTTTTAAAAAAGAGGAAACTGAGGCTCTGAGCCCAAGGTCCCAAAGGAAGAACGTGAGAGAGCTGAGATTCAAACCATCTCAGCTCTCAGGACAGGAGCAGGTGGGTTACAGCACCGAGAGGGGCAGGTACAAGGATAAAGAGGCTTGCAGGGCCGTGGAAACTAACTAAATTATTCAGTCTAGCTGCACAGAGGGTCTGTGACCAAGCATGGGAGGCGATGAACTGAAGCTGAGCAGCTGGCCAGGGGCCTAGAAAAACAGGAAAAGGGATGGGCAAGTATGATTTCAAAATATGGCCACAAGGTGGTGCAGTGACCCAGCGTGTGGCTCCTTCACTACTCTGGAGATGTGAGGAGAGAGAGGCTCTTTGGCTCGCATGCAGGGTTGAGAAGTAGGCAGAAAAGAAAGAAGGCAGAAAAGTCACCTACCAGGTTAAACTGCTGTTGCAGCTTCTCATTAGCGTAATTGATGCAAAACTGTTCAAAGCTGTTCACATCAAAGGTTTCAAAACTGAAATATGGTTTAAACAAGTTAAAACATTTCTTGAAGGGCACACACATTTGTTTATAGCTCAGTATTTTTTGACGAACTTCACAGTTTAGAAGTTTGCTATGTTTTCTGCAAATTTTAAATATGCCTCACAGCTTTTGGTTTTAATATCCTGGCAGGTTACAAATCATCTTTTTCCAAGCTGCCTCTCCAAGGAATCTGGTGTGTACAAGGCACCAACCCTGAAGCAGGCCTTCCAGAAGGCTGGTCACAAGAGGATGCATCATTTGATTCACACAACAGCACTGACACCCAATTATCTTCTCTTTGTCGATGAGGAAATGGGACTCTGAGAGATTAAGAAAGGTGCCTGAGGTCACGCAGCGACTATGAGCCTGCCTGACTACAAGGCCCATGCTTTCAGGTCAAAGGCAATGCTGTTTCCTGTTCGCTCACTCTTTGTTGCACAGCTGCCTCCTCAAGGCCTGGCTTCATAGTTCTTGGAGGACAAGGGCGAGGTCATTCGATAGCCCACAGCCCAGCAGACCCCATCGGGTCTACTTTTAGACTTTAAATACTTATCTCTGGAGTTGCAAGCTCAAGACTGGAGAGGAGGCAGGCGGTGACAGAAACAGGGAGCGGGCTGGAGACAGCACTACAGTGAGCCTTACCGCAGGCTACCACAAGCAGGCTGTCCTGTGGCGGCAGCTGCAACTCCGTTCCATCTGCCGTGACCATGATTAACGCAGGTCTGAATGCCAGACGGCTCGACTCACAAGAGAAGCTGAAAATCTGGACTCACATGTGAATCCTCTCACCCTGTAAGCGGTGATGTGGGCTGGACAAAACACAGCACCGACTTTTGCCTCCCATCCAGGTGAACGCCAGGAGCGCTCCTGCACTGCAGGTATGAGGGTCAGGGCCTATGACCTCACTTAACCCTAACACTGCCCTATGTGCAGGACCAGCAAGACCCACCGTTACACCTGAGGGCCAGAGGCCAAAGCAGCGAGTAGTGCCAGACATGCAATTTGACCCCAGCTCTTAGTGCCTCCAAAGCCTTGGTTCTTAATTGCTTTAATTCTGAGTGGTTCCTGCCAACTCCGACCACAGGTTCCCTGGGAACCTCACCTGACTGAGCTAGTTAGGCTCAGGTTAGAATTCCAGGGTAGGTTGAGGGCCTGGATTGCACTCTGGACAGCTTCAGGGTGATCAGAGCAGGAGCAGAACCCACACAGCTCTTGATGATCCCATTCCACATATACCCTCAGAAGCCCAGGGCCGGTCTGGACACGGTAGACAGACCAGCGCTAGGCCAGGGGGAGAGTCCAAAGGGCCTTGTTATGCTCCTCAGCCCAGAGCCAGGGCCAAAAGCAAGGCTTTCTAGAGCAGGGATGGAATATCAAATATTATTATTTTCCTGCCCTTTTGCCTACTCTCTCTCCCCAAAATGGGCCCTCAGATCTAAAGTTCAAAAGCCATGGGAAGACCTAAATCTAAGACTTAAAATGCCAGAAGCACATCAGCTACAACATTTCACATTTAAATGATGCTTATGGTTCTTAAGGCCACTTCACAATTTCTTCCATTTGGCCTTCAGAATAACCCTATGAGAGAGGTCCCATCTTACAGATGCAGAAACTGAGGTTTAGAGAGGTCTTGGACTCTCTCAGGGCCACACAACTGGTTTGCTGCCATGCTTGCTCCCAGGGTTCTGCCTCCTAGCCCCAGGCCCTTCCCACTCTGGATCCAGAGCACATAGGCCAACCCCAGCATATAGCTCCAGACCCCAGCCCGACTAGCTGGGGAACCACAAGTCTTCATGTTGTTCTGAGCAGACACCTCCAGACTCACAGCTTTTCAGCGCTGCTAACTTTTACTTTGGGGCTGCTGTATTTCCAGGTGGAATTGAGCCCCGTTCCCTCAAAGGCTGCATGGTGTGCATGAGCAAGGGCTGATCCACATGAGCTTACCAGATGGAGAAAGTAGTGAAAGGATCCGCCCCAGGCTGCAGCACTGTTACTTAGAAAAGAGCTTATTCCTTTCTTTTTTTCTTTTTCTTCTTTTTTTTTTTTTTTTTTTTTTAGAAGGCACCGTTAATTCATGGATGGCAGCAAGTACGCTACTTTTAGAATTTCTGAAGAGGAACTTAATTTTTAAATTTTTTTTTTTTTTAATTTTTTTTCAATGTTTATTTATTCTTGGGACAGAGAGAGACAGAGCATGAACAGGGGAGGGGCAGAGAGAGAGGGAGACACAGAATCGGAAACAGGCTCCAGGCTCTGAGCCATCAGCCCAGAGCCCGATGCGGGGCTCGAACTCACAGACCGCGAGATCATGACCTGGCTGAAGTCGGACGCTTAACTGACTGCGCCACCCAGGCGCCCCTTAATTTTTAAATTTTAATTTAAAGTATACTCTAACAAGTTCTTATAAATTTATAGTTACTCCTGTCTCTGATTTGCTCACTGAACCAAAACTTCAAATTCCTTATGATAGTGGTCTTCGTGGATCTGACTGCTGCCTGCCAGCCATTCTCCTCCACACCGAGGTTCGTACTCAGCTGCCCTCCTCCCCCCACCCCCAAACCTCCAGCACATCCATCTGCTCATTTGCTTATTCCCATCACAAGAACCCTCTCAATCTCTAATAACCTGCCTGCCCCTCCACTAAGATTAAATCCCAAGAGGACAAGGGCCATGTCCCTATTCCATTCACCAATCACACACGTGATTGTGTTGGATAAATGGAATAATATATCCTAAAGGACTATTTATTTTTAACACATTAAAAAACACAGAAGAGAGATTACTGTAACAATCATGTATTTACACCACAATGAAAGAGACCATTGTTAAATAAGACTATTAGTTTTTAAAAGCCTACTTAGGTTGAGGCACCTGGGTGGCTTAGACGGTGAAGCATCTGACTCTTGATTTTGGCTCAGGTCATGATCTTTCAGTTTGTGAGACTGAGCCTTAAGTTGGTCTCTGCCCTGACAGCACAGAGCCTGCTTGGGATTCTCTCCCTCCCTCTCTCTGCCCCTCCCCTACCCCTCTCCCTATCTCAAATAAAAAACATTAAAAAAAAAAAAAACACTTTAAAAGTCTACTTAGATTTTTACTGGCTGCTCAAATCCTCTTTTTAGAACAAGACAAGGTAAATCATTTATTAGACCATCCCAGTGATGTATCAGTATTTTAGAACTGTTGACATATGCTATTAATTGGGAGTCACATGCATTAACTCAGAATCTAAATTAAACAAAGTAACTCCCTTGAGGCATTGTCTCACATTAAACTATGGGAAAGCGGTTTCTCTGTACCTGGGTAAAAGTTCAACAGCATCATGGCCCATCTGCTTCCTCCCTCCTCCAGCAGGCTGGGGTAGGGGTGCCTAGAGCTGGGCTCTCCTCTTTGTATGGGAAAGAGAGGTTGGGCTGCTTCTCATAGGGTGTGGGGGAACACTCCCCAAGCCAGGTGGGATACTCTGTGATGCCTCAAATGGAATAATCTGCCCCTTCCCACACGGAGAAACCAGGATTGGTCCTGGGAGGGGTGAAGCATTGGGTATTTAAGGCTAGGTGTTGACAAACAGAAGCCTGAGTTCCACCAACCCTCAGAGCCTGCTCCCACGCTGGTCTGTCCTCACTTACTCACACTCTGGGGACTCTGTGGGCATCTTGAGCATGTGTTCGGCCTGGGATTTAGAAAAGGAAGACTGGGCAAAGAGGAGGAAAAGCGCCTCCAGTGTGGTGGGAACTTGGTCCCCAACAGTATTAGAAGAGCTGGAGAAGGGCTGGGGTCCAACAACAGAAGAGGATTCTGGTGTGAGAAGCTGGCTGGTCAAAAGCCTGGGTTTGGGTCAACCTAGGACCCTGTGAACATGAGTAAGGTCCAGAACGTCTGGGAATGTCATTTTGCCCCTTTGAAATGGGAAAGGTGTGTCAGGGCTCCACATCTCAGACATGAGCAGGAATTTCACACAGCACTAGGCTCTCCCACCAACAGAGCAACCGCGAACACATTTCTGAGTCTAAGCCTTGGTTGTTTCCTTTCTGTTTGAAGAGTGAGAAAGCACATGAAAACCATCCAGCACAGTAGCTAGCATATGGTGAGCTCTTGATGTCAGCCATTATTAATTCAGCACTGATTTAATACACCCTACATAAAACACACTGGAGCCCAGGGGACCATACTTAACATTCATACATGCAAACAGAGAGAAGACCACCTTTCTGATCATGTGAAACACAAAAAAGGAACGAGAACAAAATGATCTTAAAAAAATGAGCATTTGACATTTAAATGACAAAAGACAGGCTCACAGAAGAGAATCTTACCCATAAATGTCCAAAACACCAATAAAAGTGTGCTGCTTGCCTGAAAACTGCAACGCTTGGTTAATTCTGTCCACAATGAAGTTGAACAGGTGAGCGTAGATCTTTTTGGCCAGTGCATCCCTGGCGTTGACAGCTTGGGGCCTGGTCATGGGTTTTACCACCGTCTCAGAGGTTGTAATGATTTTCCGATTGCATAGCCACTGAGCAAATTTGCTACTCTCCAGGCCAAGGAGCTCACAGAACACCTCCAGGTGAGTGTCATCCTCCTTCAAAAACAAGTACAAACCCCATCAGGGCCATCTGGCCATCCAACCCAGCTCCAGCCCACCCAGCAGGGGCCCCTCGGCCTCCATCTGGGCCTATGTGAGAGACGAGGATGAACTGGCGTGAGAATCACCAGGCCTCATGAGACAGAGGCAAGCCTGGGAGGAAGGCAGGAGAGGCCACAGCAGCATGGGGCCTGCACATGGCCTTGGCAGTCCTGGGCTGCATCCCACCTGGATTTTCATTCTGGCCAAAGAATGTCAGGGGTGAGTAAGGCCACGAAGGCAATCCTCCCCCTTCTGTGCATGTGGACACAGGCTCAAGGTCCCTCTCTTTCCTTTGCAAGATGCCAGGGACACCTGCCGTTGCACGTTCACTCACTCTGTCCCTCCCTGTGTGCTCGGGTTTTGCATGGGAGGTCTTAGTCCTAAGGTACCTAGATGTCATAGTCAGAGCACCCAGTGGGGTCCCTTCACAGAGCTGGCTTCTCAGCTGACAGGGTGAATGTGTCAAAGACTTTTCCTGGACACACAAAGTAAATCTTGCTTCTCTCCCAGCTGGGGCATGAGAGCTGCCCCATTGGTCAGCAGACAAGGAAAGGTCTGTTTCTGTTTGTCCTCAACCAGCATGGACAAGGAGTCCTTGTCACTTGGCAAGGAGGTGTGAACCCTGTGACTGAGCAGTATCATTCCTCTCTGGCAAGGGAACTTCTGAGGCAGGCTAATCTGTAGAATCATCACAGGCAATCAGAAAACCATGTGGTTGTACTTAAAAAGCATCAGATTACAGTGGAGCATAGAACCTAAAAAGTCCCAGTACCTCCTTACTGTCCACCCACACCCCTTCTGACCAACATTCCAGGAACACAAAGCTTTTACTCAGGCACCTGACCTCTTCAGTGTGTAGCAGACTGCCAGAGTCATGGGTCTTCTTCCTTCCAAGAAGGAAAAAAACCATCTGAGTCAAAAACATTCAGCTACAGGTCCTGCCACAGGGGGAAGGAAAGGGGCAACAATTCTTAAAAACGTGACTTCATCTAGATTGTATTTGCCTGATATTTCAAGTTTCTGATGCAAACAAATGGTATGTATGTTCCAAAGATAGGACCAGTAATTATAGAACTCTACTTTGCTATGAAGATTCTACATCTTGGGGCACCTGGGTGGCTCAGTCAGTTAAGCATCCAACTCTTGGTTTCAGCTCAGGTCATGATCTCACAGTTTTGTGAGTTTGAGCCCCACATCAGGCTCTGCACTGGCAGTGTGAAGCCTGCTTGGGATTCTCTCTCTCTTCCTCTCTCTCTGCCCCTCCCCTACTCATGCTGTTTCTGTCTCTCTCAAAATAAGTAAAATTTCAATAAAGGAGATTATACATCTTTTTCGAGGACTTTGTCTCCTTAGATTGATAAACAAAGGATTTTTAGTCTAGTGGTTTTAACTCTTCCTCCAAAATACTACCTTCATAACAAACTTCATGGGACAGAGTTCAATGCAAGGGCAATTGTTGGGTGGAAATCACACCTTTAGTCTAAGGAGTTTGAAAAGAAGGTGTGCAGAAGCCCATTCCACGGAGGTACATGGAAAGGTACAGAGGGAGAAAGAACACCCACCACATGCACAAAAGGCTCCTACCCAGGCCTACTATCCCCTCTCCCAGAAGCTCCCAGTCTCATGTGAACTGACTAACCCAGTGAGGGCTGGACACTGGTGGGATGGGAGGGGCACTTAGTGTGAGAGCTTGAGGAGAGGGAGGAAAATTACTTCCTGGTCAAAGGACAACAGAACTGAAGCACTGAGCCAAAAACTACATGCTCCATCCACTCTGTTTGGTTCTCTTCTGCCCTAAACTTCAGGTACCAGAGAGCCAAGAAATTACCAGTGTACTGTCACCATGAGTCTTTCGGAGAACATGAAAATGGACATTGTTAGATCATGAACTGAATGCTTCCTCCAAAAATTCGTATGTTGAAGCCCTAACCTCCAGCGTGACAGTATTTGGAGTAGGGCCCGTGGGAGGGGACTGTGTTTAGATGAGGTCATAAGGGTGGGACCCCATGATGGAATCAGTACCCTTCTAAGAAGAAGAAGAGACCAGAGCTCTCTCTCTCTCTCTCTCTCTCGCTCTCTCTCTCCCTCTTTCTGCTGTGAGGACACCGCAAACAGGAGGCTATCTGCAAGCCAGGAAGAGAGCCATCATCAGGAGCTCAACCATGCTGGCATCCAGATCTCAGACTTTCAGGACTATGAGAAAACCACTTCCTCTTGTTGAAGCCATCTAGCCTATGCTGTTTTGTTATGGTGATGGCAGCTGACAAGATAGGCATGTATATATATGCCAAGCTTTAAAGGTCAAGAGACTGCACATTTCATAGAAACATTTTTCACTATATGTGATTTTCTTCTTGATGTGGGTATTAATGAGCATAACCAAATACATGCCGCTACCAAGGATCACTTCTCATAATTTTGTCGAAGAGACACACATATAAACTTTGTGTTTGGTAAGTAAAGAAACCTGTCACAAAACTTCTATGGAATATATTTCCAGAGAGAAAGCCAGCACCATTGGTGCTTAGTGCAGGCAAGTGTTGGGAGGCAGGAGGCATCCTTTCTGCTTAACATATCCAGCTCCCTCAGGGCCCTACGTGACTTGTACCCTCTCTTCCCACACACACATTTTCTGGCCTCATGTACCACCCCTTGTTTTACTCATTCCTCTTTGGATATATTGACTTGATCTTTTTTTTTTTTTTTTTTTTTTTTTTTTACTATTTTTCAAACACCTCCTGCCTGAGGGCCTCTGCGCCTGCTGTTCCCTCTACTTTTGAATGTTCTTCCGCCAATACAGGCACAACTCACCTTCTCAGCTTCAGGCTTCTGCCCACTGCCACCATATCAGCAAGGCTTTCTCTGAATGCTCTACACAAAGACGTACAGCCCCTCTGTACCCCCTACTCTGCTTCAGTTTCCTTTTTAATAGCCACCACCAGCTGCCAGAGCCCATAATTATTTATTGTGTCTCCTCCCCTCCACTTCCTTCCCCTAGAGCATAAGCCCCATGAAGGGCTTCCTGTCTTGCTTTGTTTGCTGCTGTTTCTCCAGAGCCTACAACAGGGCTTGGCATATAGAAGGAACTTGGTAAAAATTTACTGAATAAAGGAAAACACATAGAGAATGCCTTTCCCCCTCCTCTACTGTTGCAAGGGGAAGAAGTTTTACTCTTTAAAAGCCACCCCTGGAAATCCTTGCTTCCTTCTCTTGAAACCAGGTCTCCCCGGTGGGCCCAAGGTGCCTGGTGTTAAGATGCAGAAGCAGGGTAACCACACGACTCTCTACTCATGACTCTTTGAACACAGGAAGGTGAAACAAAGCAGCGGCTTACACTAACTGAGGATCTCTCGTTGCCCACCGCTGTGATCTGCACGTTGCCCAGATGGAGGATGGCTGCTAGGATCTTAAAAACATCCATCTGAAAATCTTCCTTGAAACCTGAAAAAAAATTTCCAAATTAGGGTTACTGCATTTCTTCTCTTACCTCACACTAGTAAGATAAGCACCTGAATTCTTTCAAGACACTCTAGTGCCATCAGTGCCAAGATCTGAACTTGAAATGACACAGATGTGAATTCTGCAGCCCTCTAGGTTTCCCCTTTTGGCATTGCTGCTAGAAGTTCAACACAAAAAGTAATATGCAAGTAACCACTTCATGTCAGTTTCCTGAGGGAATCAGCTCTCATTTATTCGACGTGATATGCTTCCTTTATTTTCATTGTGTTTCTTTTCTTTCTTTTTTTTTTTTTTTTTTGGTTCACAAGCTCCTTGAATTCTTCTTGTGGTGGGTGCTGGATGATTCCATCTGCCTCTGCAGCCCCAGGGGGCTGAACCATCTGGCTGAAGGCAATGGGCTCTCATGCCCTCTGGCCTCTGGTTGGGTGTGACCAGCGAGGACTGCTGGCAGGAGATCAGAGATCAGGAGGAGAGAGGTACTAGATAGGTCATCCCTGTTTCTCTCCCTGCAAAGTTGCCTCAGGCTCTCAGTGTTGCCAACTGACAGGTCATCGCTCCTGATCTGGTGATGACCTCCCCCAACCCTACTTTCTGGCTCCAGTGACACTGCTGTGCCCAAATGGGAAAGAGCAGTGAACAGCTCTGCTCCTGACCCTGGCTACTTGCTGCCCCTTATAGCTCCCACAGATCTGTCCACATCTTTGTAGTTGGTCCCTTCATAGATAAACCCTCCTTCTTTTATCTTAATTTATGTGGACCCTGTATTTCCCACTGGGACCCTGACTGCTGTAGGTAGCATATAAATCACGAATATATAACATATTCAGTCACCTTAGGTCATTAGCACATTTCCTGGAGCCAAAAATAAACCTAGCCAGCTACTAGGGAGGATTTTGTGTCCAATGTCTGCAAATCACGATAGAGAACCTGCCAGTCGCGAGCAGGGCTTTGCTAGGTCAGGACTCCAGGGCGGGAGTAGGGTGGGGGGTGGGGGTAGGCACCAGGTGGTGCATCAAGGAGCTTGGAGATACTCTAAGGGGGGTGGGGGGGGCAGGCTCATTCATGTCGATATCCATGCTCCCTGGTCTGCGTGAGAATGGCAGGTGTTGTCATCACCTGTGACTCCCCCCCACTCCCTCCAAGCAAAAAACAGCAGGTCCTAAATGTTGAGTAAGAGTGGCCACAGCCACCCTTGCTTCTCCCTTGAGGACACCTGCACTATTTCAATAGCAGCTAGGTCATGTTCTTAAATAATTTCAGAACCTAGACAGTCTTCTCTACTTCAAAGATTAAACAAAACCAAAGGTGCAAAAGATTTCAAACCAAAAATATGTGGAAGGCTCCAGCTCAGCCTGAGTCTAGGCATTGTTGCTGCCTTCTGTTTGGACTTAATGCTTCCACTAGAAAGACAGATGCCTCTAACAGAAATAACCCCCACCCCCCGCCCCGCCCCAGGCCACTACCATGATAAGCGTCAGGTCAGTGAGGAGGAAAAGCAACTAAAAACACACCATCTGGGGATCTTCATTTTGGCATTCCCCACTCACTGTGTGACTGATCCATAACTAAATCATTTCACTATTCCACGTCTTCCAGAATCCACGAAAGTGAACTAACTCCAAAGTGAGGATGTGAAGGAGAGGACTTAAGACCTCAGTGAAGGAATTCTCTTTAGTGAGGCAAGGTCATGTGAAAGTGTGGCTGGCCTGAGTGAGACTTCAGTGAGAAGCACAACAGGCAAGGATCTTGAGCCTGAGGTCCAGGCCAAGTCTGACTCTTTCCAGGGTATTCATTCTGTCAGAGAGTAAACGGTCAGGCAAGGATAAAAGGGTTAATTGAGATCAGAAGAACAAAGGAAAGGAGCTTTTGGTCAAAGTACATCCCCTTCTGCTTTATCGGGGCATAAATCCATGACCAGCTAAGGTGTCTCAGGAGCAGAACTGGAAGGAACTCTGTGCCAGACCCTGTCTCCAGTACTTTCCATGTATCATCTCATCTAATGCTTACAACAACTATATGAAGTGAGCACCATCATGGTTCCCATTTTATAGAGGGGGAAACTAAGACAAAGAAGGGTTAGAACACACTGGGCATCCAAGCAGTTTAAGGCCAGCGACCACTGCAATATGTGAAAAGACCCGTGGAGTTCATGAAGCCATCCTAGCTACATCCCTTTGTGGACCCTAAACAGAGAGGACCCTGACAACCCCGTGCCAAGCAAAGAAGTTTGAGCAGACTTCAGAGACCCATGTATGGGATGTGTTGTGAAATGCATGCGCATTTTGAACTTAGATGACCTCACTGCTAATTTCTCCATACTAGCTTCATAACTAACACAGCAATGGACAAATCAACCAAGTACTTATTTAGCAATTACATTTTTAAAAAGGGTGGCCTGACCAAAGGTGCTATAAACCTATATACAATTCAGGTTAGGCGGTCTACCCTTGAGGAGATCTCCATCTAAAAAAGAGAACACTCGGGGCACCTGGGTGGCTCAGTCGGTTAAGCGTCTGACTTCGGCTCAGGTCACAATCTCACTATCTGTGGGTTCGAGCCCCGCGTCGGGCTCTGTGCTGACTGCTCAGAGCCTGGAGCCTGTTTCAGATTCTCTGTCTCCCTCTCTCTCTGACTCTCCCCCGTTCATGCTCTGTCTCTCTTTGTCTCAAAAATAAATAAATGTTAAAAAAAAATTTTTTTTTAAATAAAAAAGAGAACACTGAGACCCAAACAAGAGAACACAGCAGTGAGACAAGCAGTATCAACAAGGCACGCACATTGTTAGAAGTACTGCTGTTTAGAACTTTCCAAGGTGATGGAAATGTTCTGTATTTGTGCTGTCCAATAGGGTAGCTATTAGTCACATGTGCTTAGGAGCACTTGAAACATGCCTAATACAACTGAGAAACTGAACTTTTAAGGTTATTTCATTTCATATTTTTTTAATGTTTATTTATTTTCGAGAGAGAGAGAGAGACAGAGTGTGAGCAGGAGAAGGGCAGAGAGAGGGAGACACAGTATCTGAAGCTGGCTCCAGGCTTTGAATTGTCGGCACAGACAAGTCCAGACATGGGACTCGAACTCATGAACTATGAGATGATGACCCGAGCTGAAGTTGGATACTTAACAGACTGAGCCACCCAGGTGCCCCGAAGGTTATTTCATTTTAATTGAAATGAAATGAAAACAGTCACTTGTGGCTGATGGCTACTGTGTTGGATGGCAAAGGTTTAGAGACCCTGAAATCAACATGCAGAATGAGGTATTTGGTTGGGGGGGCGGTCACAGGATGATGGCAAACTCAAAGTTACAGTGAGGTCATCTGGTTCCACTCCACAACAGTGAATGGACCTCTGCCGTCTGCTCAAACTTCTTTGCCTGGCACGCAGTCATCAGGGAACTTCCTTGGTGAGACACACAGGGGTGAAGCTAAGATAGCTTCATGAAGTCCATCCATGAATCTTCATATACTGTAAGAAAACTCTAAGGAATCCATCAACTATGCTCACTCTACCATCTTAGGACAAAGGGCAGCAAATGTTTTCTTGTTAGGCTTTGCAGGCTGTACAGTCTATCACAATTCTGCCACCACAGCATGGAAACAGCCATAGACCATATTTAAACAAATGAGTGTGTCTATGTTCCAATAAAACTTTATTTACAAAAACAGACAGCAATCTGCTGACCTCTGGTCTAGGACATTTTTTAGTGATTCATGCAGTGAAGTCATGCTTTCATTAAATATATACTGATCTTTCATACTGATATAGCATGCCATAGTTCATAAACCACTTTAGACATTATCTCTTAATCCTCACAGCATCCCTAACAGCTACTGGGAGGGGCGGTGGCTACTCTCCAAAGATGGCCCCCAGTGCATCATCTTCCCAGTGTTCATGTACGGTGCAGTTCTCTCACCATGAGTTATGAGTCTGAGCTGGCCCTGTGACTCACTTTTAACCATTAGCACATGGCATTAGTGATGCTGCTTTACTTCTGAGGCTGGTTCATAAAGTCTTACAGATTTCACCAAGCCTACTGTAACCAGCTCTGGGAGAAGCTAGCCACAACGTGCACAGTTCATTTACCCTGGGACCAGCGTGCCGTGAGGAAGTTCCTGTGGAGAGAGAGAGATGCCTGCCCAGGCCCCAGTACTTCTAACCATTCCAGCTGATAGGAGAAAGAAGGCTTCAGAAGATCAGGCCCCTACCACCGGCACAGAATAGTCCCCAAATGAGAAGCATCCAGCTGAGCCCAGTCACCCCAGAATCACGAAACATAATAATAATGTGTCATATTAGGCCACTAAGATTTGGGGAAAAAGCAACTGGTAAATGGAACAACTGAATATTCTCAGTGCTATCTCAGTAATCAAATGGGGAAACTGATGCCCAGAAAAAAGTAAGTGATCTATGAAAGGCCACAGACCCATCTTATGACACGTGAAAAAAATCGGAGCAAATACATGATGATAGATAATTTACTACTAAATTATGAGGTCTAACGGCCAAGGCACAGCTGATCAAAGGAGACATTCACTGGGCTAGCATCTTTAAGTCACAGGCTTGGTAGAGAGTAAACAGGTGCAGAGTCCATCACATTCCTGGCATTCTGCCCACCACACCAGTCACAGGCTGAGAGGGCTTCCTGGAAGGTCAGGGGAAGACGGCCCCAACCTCCTTCCACCCCACCCACTTCTGACACCGGGCAGCCTACACCATTAACAGCCATGAGAGGCAGTAGATTGTTTTACTCTATCTCCCCACAAGACTTTGGGGGCTTTGTCAAGACACCCACGCCAGGTGTGTAAGGCTTGGTGGGACAAGGTGAGGCAAGCTGGGTGCCAGGGGCTGACCCGACATTTGTGTCACCCTGAGAATGAGTACCTGAGTGCCTCCTTCAACTCTGTGCTCTAGTCGCCTCTCCTGCCTCACCCTAGTCCTGGACCTGATAGTGTGGATATTTGTGAAAACCATCTGATTTGTGTGAGGCAGTGAAAAAAAAAAAATTGCTGCTGCTGGTCTCCAATGATCAGGGAAGGTTTCATGGAGAAAGGGGTATTTTGCTCAAAGGATGGCTAGGGCTTGGACAACAGCAAACAGAGATTGAGGGCAGGCTGTAATATTTAGCAAGCACTGGCTACATGCTCAGCCTGGTGTCAGGGACTTTCACGTACATTTCCTTACCAGTTATCATGAGAGCCCTGTGGGTAAGGAATATGGCCATTCTACAGATCAGGAAACTGAGTCTCAGGAAGGGCAACCCCTTTAGAGTCCTGCCAACTAGATTTCAAGTCATGTTTATTTGACCCCAAAGCCTACTCTATTTCTCTTGTATCATTTTGCTGTGAGGTGAAACATTATAGAGCTGGGAAGGAGTGTCGGAAGGGTAGAGGTGGGAAGGAGGACAGGGCATGTGGACCAAGGTCCCACAGGGGCCGTGCCAGAGTGAGGCCACCTGATCCCTCCTCATGCACGGTGTTCTCTCTCAATGGAGCACATTATAAAAAGATGAAATTGTGACTATAATTATTTTAAGAAAATGTTTATCAGTACCCAAAGTGTTTATCTTATTATACAATACTTAAACTGCCCTTCTCCTTAATTCATTTGGAAGAGGCAAAATCAGATCGTTAATTGTGCTTAGGAAACCAACCAGTTTTCATTCACCATTATCCAAATCTTGCCTATTTTTCTGATACATTTAACCTTGAACTCTTTGCCTTTTACATTTAAATATAGTCAACCAAGCCACAATAATGAAAACAAACTGGTGAAACAAATACTCTCTGTGAGATGTAAAAATGGCCTGTCGTCTCAAACCACAGATCAGAAGCTTTGACTGGCAGGTAGGTGTTAAAGTCTACACTGATACACTATGGGAAAGTGAATGATAATTTTTATTATCAATGTCATTTGATAGACACTTTCCAAATGTGAGCTCCATGTGGGAAAGGCAAAGTGGAGAAAGACCAAGCAATCCAAGATCTTGTTTTCTATATAAAAGTTATAAGACTTCTCCATTCCCCTGTGGTAAAACGGGGGAAATGCCCCATCCACCTCATAAAGTGCTTGTAAACTAAACAAGCTAATACAGGTAACAAAGTGCTTAGGATGGTGCGTGGCACTCGGTAAGTTCCATGTAAGCGTCTGCTATTTTATCAGGCCAAACAGGGGCAGCATGACCCTCCAGACCTGATTTACCAGTCTTCTCCGAAGTCAGCCCAGAGGAGCTTTGGGGCAGCCACGGGAGCACAGCCCATGTTTCTCAACTGCAAACCAGCGAGGCTGAGGGCTAACGAGTTGATTTCTAGATCTTTTAAGGTTAAAGCATAGTCTTGAATGCTTGGCCTCCAAATATATTCTGACTGGCTCATCCTAAGATTAGAATTTATTAGGACTCTTTAAACACATGCACCCTGGACATCCCTGTCTTTCCTTTTTTTTAAAAGAGAAAATGGCCACACCTTGTTCAGGACACTTCAACTTACCCAGCAGTGTGAAGGTCTTCTGAGTCTCTACCATGTCTGCTCTGTCATTCACACCCTCAATGACAGTACTGCCTCCCATTCTTGTGTAATTAAATTCCTCTGCACTCCCTGAAATCAAAAGATTGTTAATGTCTGTGACACATTTGTACATATGTGTTTATCAGAAGCAAGGCAGGAAGCTCCCACGTAATGCGCTGTGGTAAGCACCTAACACACAGGAATCCATTTATTCCTTAGAATTCTACGTTACGGACACAGAAGCCAAGGCTCCGAAAAGTGAGGCAGGGCAAGAATTTAAACACGGGCATGACTACAAAGCTCATGGTGTTTGTTCCTGTATCTAACCATTTTATACAGCTTTACTGGGGTTTATTGAACACAGAATAAACTCTACATGTTTAAGATGTGTAATTTGATGAGTTTTGATACAGTATACCTTGACAAAATCATCACCACAATCAAGAGGATAACCATATGCCCACCTAATATTTGAATAGTAGGTGACTGTGACCCTTCAGAAGGCTCTTCCACATTCGCTACTCACATTCTGTGACAGGCATAGGTATTATCTTTATGTGAGATGTGAAGAAATTTACTGGACAATTCTATCTACCAATATAGCACAGACAACCAAGAGGAGAGCTGTGACAGCACAGGAGTCCACTGTTTGTGCTAAAGGACAAAGAGTTCTGCTGTCCCTGCAGCATAATTAGTCAGAACTATAAATAATAATGACCTTGAGTCATCAAGGAAGCTCAAATTATGACACAGGTACTCCGTCTCAGAAGACAAGGAAATATGTCCTACGCGTTGGAAAAACGGCTACCCAAGGAAGTTCAGGTAAAGCAAAGCATAGGGGTTTACAGTACCAAGTCCCAGTGGTCAGGAGGCCTTATTCAGGTAGTTCTGGCTGCATGATTATGAACACCCATGAGCTTTGAAAAAATCCCTGGAGTTGAAGGTCTCCACCCTGCCCCTCCATGTATCTCCTTAGTTAGATGCATCAGTTCCACCCCTAAACCCAAGGATTTATGTCTTGGAACAGAATATTTCTTTAAGTGACACTACTCTAAGAAGAAATCAAGCTAGAATTTAATCCCCTACATAAAAGGGACAGATACTTCCATACATCACCACCACGTACCCAATTTAAGATGTTTAAATTCCGACCGCTGCGCAGACGCACAGAGCTGGTAAAAAATGTGGTAATTTCGTTCATTTTCTGACTGTAAAATAAAGAAAAATCCTGAAGTTATGGCAACCCTTTACAGTAAAAACACGAGGTTTTCAGGGAATGGGTCTTAGATGGCTAACGTGGACTGACAATTCTGCTCTCACAGACACCAACACTTACATGGGTTTCTTCTCTGGTTGAGAAGTCTGTGAGCAACTTGCTGCCCTCTGCTGGCTCACTGGCAGAGGGAGAGCTGCTGGCTCATGATTGCCTTCCAGACAAGGACCCCAGAGAAAATGCTAGTAAATGAAAACACTCTGCGAAGTGAGAATAATGTAATTTGTACTAGGTGAAATTTTTGTTTTGAGAGAGAGAGAGAGTGAGAGAAAGAGCTAGCAGCGGGCAGGGGCAGAGAGAGAGAGGGAGAGAGAGACAATCCTAAGCAGGCTCCATGCTCAGCCTGATGCAGGGCTCGATCCCATGACCCTGGGATTATGACCTGAGCTGAAATCAAGAGTCAAATGCCCAACAGACTGAGCCACCCAGGTGCCCCTGAACTAGTTGAAAATTTTAAGAAACATCCTGCGATAAAAGGCTTACTGTTACTCTCCTGGGCCAAAACTAGGAGAATTTTCTCCACTTTACTGACGGAAGGCTCTTTCTCCTAACTCCCCACCCCCCCACCCCACTAGCTGTAAGCCCATTCCCTTCCTGACAGAAAAGCCAGTCTAACATCTTCGTCTGTTTCAAGCAGTTTCTGTGTTCTAGAAAGAGAAACTTGATTGTTAAACACTAAGGATCTTTTAAATGCCCCAAAATTAAAAATCATAATTCTTCCCTTTGGTGGAGTCATATCATTCCACTGATATTGCATCTATCCATCAATTTTTTGTTTTTAAGAAACAGAAAAAAAATAAGCCAAAATGCAAATGAAAGACAGGAAACTCTATTCTTCAAGTCACAAAGCAACGTAGGTTGTCTAATGAGCATGTAAGTGTAAACAGTACTTTAAGAGTTGGGAAAAAGGAAACTTAACTGATATTTTTATACTTACTTGAAAGACAACTCTGGATTTCTCCAGCAGGTAAGTTCTCATGTTGGCTCCTATAATCTGATTTCTCTCATCAAAACTGATTTCTGTGTATTTCCCAAACCGACTACTGTTGTCATTGCGGGTGGTCTTGGCATTTCCAACAGCCTACAAAACAGAGAACCCTCAATAATGTTAAAAAGATCTTTGCTTAATAAAATCCAATCCTGTATGCTGGGAGAAGGTCTGTTTAGCAGAGGAAGGTTGGGGGGGGGGGCCCGCGCGAGGGAAGCAGCCCAAAGCTCAGAGGGGACATGACACATCCTCTACCTGCCATTCAAGGCTCTCCTCCATCTTGCTAGGAGACACTGAGCAGGATTAGAACGAGCACAGGTTCTGATGTTTCATGGTTCCTAGGCTCCTGTTTTTGCTGTCTGTGTAATACTAGAAAAATGATTTCATCTTTCCAAGTCTGGATTTCTTACCTGTAACACGGGAATAATACGCAGCTTGCGGAGTTGGGAGGATCACCACATCCATGCCCCAAATATTATAGATGCTCAATTAAAAGAACACATCATTCAAACTTTATTTCTTTCCCTATCTCTTACCACTTCTCTACCCAGACCTTCCACTCAACCACAAAACTGCCCTCTCCCATTCTTTCCATATTCTAGGCATGACTTTTGCTTTTTATTTCTACTCTTGAATTCTGTCTCTTATCTGCCCATCCCCTCCCCCTTCCTGAGCATTTTCCATCTGGAAGTACCCTTCTCATGCACACATGCTGTACTTCCTGCCCAGGTCATCACGCTTTCTGACAACACATATTTACTGAGCACCTGCTATGCGCCACGTCCTTGGGTGACAAAGGTGAACCAGGAAGACATGGTCCTGCCTTCGTGGAGCTTATAATCTAGTGGGTGAGACCAACCTTAAACAAATAATCACACAAATTTACCCACTGGGCAGTACCTCTGGACAACTTTTCTACTGCTACCATAGATTGTGGTTTATGTTTCCATTTATTTTTTTTAAGTTTATTTATTTTAAGAGAGACAGAGACAGCTTGAGTAGGGGAGGGGCAGAAAGGGGGAGAGAGAGAATCTGAAGCAGGCTCCATGCTGTCAGTGCAGCTGCCAACATAGGGCTCAAACTCATAAACTGTAAGATCATGACCTGAGCTGAAGTTGAACGTTTAACTGAGTGAGCCACCCAGGCGTCCCTCCATTTAACTTTAAATGTGTTTACGTTAGAGGAGTCTTTCAACTTGGGGACTGGGGCTTATTCTTTTCCATTACTTCCTATATTATCTGCTACAGGGGCTTAAACAAAATAGGCCTGATAAACACTGATGATTTTGATTTGAGAAAACAGGGAGAGAGGTCTAGGAATCTAATGATCTTAATTTTTTGCAATGCTTCCAAATAAATTTAAATCAGTCCTTTCCCCACTTTGCAAAGCAGTCAGAGCTGGCCTTTGATCATCTCCTGAGCCTTTGCGATGACCCTTCTTTCTTAAGGGCTGTCTCCTTGCTCCTGGGTGCCATGAGGACTGGTCTTGTTCACACTGCTCTCCCAGTCAGAGTTGGGCTGGTGGATCAGCTCTCAGAGAGGGAAGCAGAAGAGCCTTGATATGTGGCATTTGCCAATTTATAAAGTGTAAATATTCCCACCGTGACTGATGTTGAACTATCAAAATTTTAATAGTCAGCTTACCAAAAAATTTCTGAATATTTAACAATCAGCTCATGAAACTTGGTGTCATTGGCTGAAGAACACCAGTGGTCTCAGTGCACCAGTGGTGTCTGTGGTCAAGGAAATTTCCTTTGGTGTATAAATATAGACACAGGACTCCTGAAATCTGATTTCTAGCCCAGCAGGTTGAGGAGAGAGCCTTAGCAGGGTAGTCTCTTCTTCAAGCTCCTTCGAATCCTATCAGAGAACAGACTTTCCGGCCCTCACTTCTATGGTCTTTAAAGCTGAGGGATTCAGGTTAGCCAGGGAAACATATACACAACCAATCCGCTTCTCCATTATTGCGCATTGCTGCCTGTGACCCCACCCCCCGCCTCCCGCAGGGTACACACCTCAGTTATGGGGTTCGATGCCAGAACCTTGTCCTCCACGTGGGCGTTACTGCTGGACTTGCTGACGGTGGCGAAGTATCTCATGGCGTAGCGAGCAGACACTGTCTTTCCAGCACCTGACTCCCCACTTACAATTATTGACTGATCTTTATTGTTTCTAAAGCAAGTAAATTAAAGGATTTTTTAGATACTGTTTTTTTCCTATTAAAAAGGTAATATATACTCAGTAAGAAAAACACAGACAAGGGGAGAGAAGGTAAACTTTGTTTCATTACTCTAAGGTAACTACTTTTTACCATTCCAGTGAATTCCCTTCTAGTCTTTTTTTCTATGTGATCAAGCTAAACTTTGTTTCTTGCCCTGTCCCCCATGTTGAGGGTCCCCCAAGACCCTCTCAGGTCAGTGACCCACCAGGAGGACTCACAGGACTCAGCACACAGTCATGTTCATGGCTAAGATTCATCACACCAAAAGGCTAACTCTGCAAAGAAGAAAGGCACATGGGGCCAAGTCCAGAGGAAGCTGAGTGTGAATCCTTAATTACTACAACAATGAATTATGACAAGACATGGGAAGTGCTGTCTACCACGAAGCTCTTTAGAGATTCAGTGGCCAGGGTTTGTACTGGGGGCTGGTCACATAGGCAGAGCATGTACCAAAATTCCAGATGCCCTGAAGGAAGGCAGGTGCTCAGCATGAACCACATCATATACACAGTCAAGGCACAATGAACCTCTCTCCTCAATTGGATAATGGTGGGGAACTTCCTAAAATCCAAGTTCCCAGAGGCTAGCCCTATACCAACCTTGCAAGCAGGCCTCTAAAGAAAGCCATCTTGGGCCCAAGTCAACTCCTCTGTATCCCCACATAAACATAAAACATTTTAAAGGCATTATTTGGAGAGCAATTATTCAAAATATGCTTGGGAACATAGGTGCTCAGTAAGCCCACATGCTGGAGATCTTTAAAAAGGTATTCAACTTGGGGGTGCCTGCGTGGCTCAGTCAGTTAAGTGTCCGACCTCAGCTCAAGTCATGATCTCATGGCTTGAGAGTTTGAGCCCTGCGTTGGTTTCTGTGCTGACAGTTCAGAGCCTGAAGCCTGCTTCAGATTCTGTGTCTCCCTCTCTCTCTGCTCCTCCCACATTCATGCTCTCTCTCTCAAAAATAAATAAACATTAAAAAAAATTTTTTTAATGTATTCAACTTCTCGCATCTTAAGGTGATAGCAGGACTGTACTATAAAGCTGTTCTATGTATCCAGCACTGCTTATAGATACAAGGCACTCCATGAATACTTTATAAGGATCCTCATTTAAGCCTCACAAAAATCCTATGCCACATGTATCTATTTTTATGGAATGGTACAACAATGACTCAGAAAGGTAAGGTGACTTGACCCAAGGCAGAGCACCTCCCTGTGAATGCTGGGAGCACCTCAGAGATGGAGTTCCTGCTCAAAAGAGCAAGACCCTGAGGAGATCAGTGATGGACACCTACAGTCCCCCGCCGGATAGAAATGGAGCCGGGCTTAGTAAAGCTGGGCTTTTCTGACTCCCAGGTTAGTATCAGCAAGTCCAGTACAAACCTACCTTACGTTCAGTTCTATCACATTTAGAAAGACAGGCCTCCAGAGAAAATGGACTTTTCAAGTTGAAACTGGCTCAGCCCGATAGCTCCAGTGAGCTCATACTGTTGACGTACAGGAGCAGCCCTGGCCCATCAGGCTATGAACCATGGACCTTAATTGCAGAGTGCCTGGAAGACTTATAGGGAGCCAGGGCAAATCCTAGAACCACGGGTGTTTTTCAGTTTGGAGGAAATTTGCTGTAGCAGAGACCAAGGTAACTGGTTATTAACTGGTGAATCTCTATCCAACATTCCTCCTCCCCTCCTTCTTAGAGACTATGCCCCAATTTTCAGTGGGAACACTGCTGTGCATATGAAAGACTACCTATTCCAACCTTACTTGCCGCCAGGCATGGCCCTGTGAATAGGTCCTAGACGAGCTGTGAGCAGAAGTCTTTGTGGGGCTTCTGGGAAGTCTCTTTAACCAGGAGGGGCACATACTTCCCCTCTGACACTCTGGTGCCAACAATATGGAGGAGATGGCTAAGTATTAGCTTGCCTTCAGGATGAGGGTCTCACTCCACGGACAGAAGATCTAAAAGGCATCCAGTCCCTGATGACTGGGAGAGGTGCCATGCGAGTTCTAAAATGCCCACCAGCCTTCTTGGTAGGAGAGAACCACACACACCACCATTATTTTTTCCTGATTATAAGCAGTGGAACGTAGAACGGGTACTCTCCGAGTGTCTGGCTCACAGATGGAAGACACTAAAGCTGAGGAAACTCAGATGGTTGCCTAGATTATGTAGGGTCCAGATTCTGTGCCTCAGGTTTCCATTTATGAAATGAGGGCAATGATGGTGGCTCAACTGACTTCACAGGGGTGTTGCAAGACTTAAAGGAGACCACTGTCCGGAGAGTTCTTTTCAAACTGTAAAAGGATCAGCAAAGATAAGATGGTGTTTCTATTCTTCATTCATACCTAAAAAAAATTTTTTTCATGTTTATTTATTTTTTGAGAGGGACAGAAAGCAAGTGGGGTAGGGCCAGAGAGAGAGGGAGACACAGAAACGGAAGCAGGACCCAGGCTCCGAGCTGACCACACAGAGCCTGATGTGGGGCACGAACTCACGGACCATGAGATTATGACCTAAGCCGAAGCTGGACCCTCAGCCGACTGAGCCACCCAGGTGCCCCTCTATTCTCCATACTTTACAGATAAGGACATTGAAACTGAAAGAGGATAAAACTCCAAAGCTCTTACATCTAAAACCTGTGCTCATCCATCATAACTTTTTGCTAGGCTAGATGGGGAATAAAGCTTAAACATCTCACAGTGGAGAATAAATCAATATTCCTCCAACCAAACACAGTGCAAGAGAAGCATCTGCTTTTCCCAGATTGGTAGGTTTGACCTTTGACTACTTAGAAGGAAGAAAAACCAGGAAACTCGGTCTAGACAGGTTCCACATACAATCATTTGTTACTCATTAGTCTGCTCTACCAAGTGCCCTCACTCTCTGGTCGCATGGTCACCTTTAATGAGACCACACCAGATGTCTCCCCTCCACTGTGAGGGCCCAGCAAATGCAGGAGTGTTGGGAGAGTAAGAGGAAGTCCCACCCAGTAAGCGGCTACCTGGCCATCTGCTTGTACGCCTCTTCAGCCACAGCAAATATATGTGGGTCCATATCGCCCATGTTCTGCCCGCTGTAGGCATGGATGATGGCATCTCCGTAGATTGGCAACTGCTTGTAAGGATTCATAGCCACCAAAATGATTCCTGGGGAAAGATGCAAGATGCAACGCTGAGGTTCTGACCGTCACCCATTTCTCCAGGTTCTCTGGAGTAAGCCCAGCTCCACCAGTTATTAAACCTGCCATGTGACTTTGGGCAGATCACTTAATGCTCCAAATCTCAGTTGCCTACAGATGCCACCCACACTTCTGGGCTACTCTCAGAGTTGGATGAGACGACGGATGGGAATGCCCTAAAACTGAAAGGTTTTGTAATTCTCAGTGTAAATATATGATAACATCGTTGCCCCAAGTAAGTCATAAACGTATCAAATCCAATAAGAAACTCAAACACAAGCTTTACCCAGATATATTTTTCTGGGAAGTCTGATATCAATTCTTGATGAAGATTCTCCCCACCTGCAGACACTTCTGTTTACAACAGACTCTTGAAGATCAAACCTCTGTGCTTGTTAGATAGAAATCTGGGCAAAGGTGTAGCTGTGAGTACACATTTTGGCAGAAGTCAACATTTCTAACATAAACACGATATAAAATGTCCTCAGGACACCCTAGACAGCAAGCACCGTGTTTCCAGGTCATTCCTGCTCTCCTAGAATCACTCTCCTTACCACTGTAGGTGTAAATGAGTTTGGATTCTGCAAAGCGGATTCTGAGATTGTGAAGCACCGCAGGTTCGTGGAGATAGCTGAGGGCTGTGAGGTCATTCTCACCCACGAGGATGTCAGGATTCCGAAGTGGAGGCAGAGATTCTGGATCAATGGAATAATCCAGCTCCTATGAACAAAGATGAAATTAAAGTTCAAGAAGTAAAATATCCTTGGTGTTTCTATTGAACTCTAGTCCTCTGTCCTATCTACCATGTGTTCGGAGTGGTCCCTGACACTCTGAAAAACAAACCTATGTGTAGCAATGAGAAAATAATCTCCATGGCTGACTCTTGGAAAGTGGGAGCCAGGGGACGAGGGTATTGGACATGGGCCCTGGGGTAAGTCACTTGCTCTTTCTGGGCCCCTCTTCTCCCATCTGTGAGAAGACTGGCTGGACCAGACCAGGGGTCCTCAGAGCTATAGAACCTCACTGAAGCTTCCATGAGACGTACAGGAAAGCCATGTGGGCAGGGACCTGGGCACACCATCCTCATTGCTATCACAGGGCTCCACTTGTATGCAGTTTAGATGCTGAGAGCCACCCAAGTTTTTGTCTGAAAACAGGGTTCTGCTGGGTGGTGAGAAGTGTCTGAAGGAGCCCATGTGAGTGGTGGTGACTCTTTGAGAAGATCCATGTGCTTGTAACTCCTGTCTGAGGGCTCATGCCCCCCTTATAAGGCTGCCTGTTTCCATTACCCTCAGCCCTGGGCTGAGTAACTTGCTGGGGATGGTCTCTTGTCTGGTAGACTTCACCTAGCATTCCCAAAATAGGTGCCTGAGTAGAAGGGAGAGGTTAGCAAGCCTAGTGGTGCTGACACCACAGACGACTGGGCTCCAAATGGCAGAGAATCATGGGACCTTATGACCACCTATTCTAACTTCCTTTACGTTCATTTCACAGCTTGGGGAAGTGACTTGATCAAGGTTATCCAGCAAGCTTGTTTTCCTTCCACTTTCCCAGGCCGCCTTCTTTCTGATACCTGGTCTTGAACCAGCTCCACAAAGTGACCTGGCTGTCCCCTCACAAGTGCCCACTATGCACACCCTATGCCATGTAGTCAGCACTCCTCAAAACTGCCTTCCAAGGAGGGCATGAGTACCCTAATTAACAGCTAAGGAGACAGCTTCAAAGAGTTTAAGCTCCTTGTCCAAGGTCACACAGTATGGATATGTTTGGCTCTGAAGCATGTGTCCTAATGCCTCCTATCAATGCTGAGAGGACTTGGTTTGTTGTTGGTTGGTCTGTTTGGAGAGCAGCTCAGGGCAATCTAGGCCAACTATATTGGATCATGACAGATGCCTGCTCCATTTTCAGTGCAAATATATTCATGGACCTGCCCCCAGCAGAATATTGTTTTTCCCTGTTTTATTGAGAAATAATTGACATATATCACTGTAAAATTTTAAGGTATAAACCATAATGGTTTGTTTTACATATACTATGAAATGATTACCACAGTAGGTTCTGCTCGCATCCATTATTTCATAAAGATGTAATAATAAAGAGAGAAAAGAAAAAAATCTTCTCATTGTGATGAGAACTCTCAAGATTTAGTTTAATTTTCCTAGCAGTGTAGCCACAGTCATCATGTTGCACATTACACTCCTGGAACTTATCTTGTAACTGGATGTTTATATCCTTTTTTTTTTTTTTTTTT